ACGGAATGGGAATCCTGGCTTTCCCTACTTCGCCTGTCTGCGACGAAAGTCCTTTGGGCGGGAGTCCGTCACCATGGACACAGCCGGTGTAAACATGTACACAGTGCTCTGGTGCGTTAGAGCGGTGTGAAGGTAGCACTGAGTTAACTGGGACTTTATAAATAACTATGAGTCCTACAGCTGTCTATGTCACATATGTAAAAGGAAAGCTATATAAACCATTATTTAGAGAAAGCAGTGTCAACATTTAAACTGAGCAAGTGATGCTATGAATATTTTGGCCCCATTGCTGCTGAGTCATTTAATACAATTTACCTTTTGATGTTATCCATTCTAATGATAATATCATTCTAATATGCTGATTTGGTGCTCAAGAAGCATTTCTTATTATTACCATCAATGTTAAACGCAGTGGAAACCGTGATACTTTCTCATTTAAAAGTTTAGGGTAAGTAATTTTATTTAAAAAAAGAAAAGAAATGAATACTCTTAATTCACGAAGGAGGCATTGAATTGATTCAATTGACAGTAGGACATTTATAATGTTACAACATAATTGTATTTCTCATACATGTTGTTCTTTTAAACTTTATATTCATGAAAGAATCGTGAAAAAAATTAAATGAGCATCAGTAATAATTCATAATTGAGCACTAAATCAGCATATTAGAGTGATTTCTGAATGATCACGTGACACTGAACACTGGAGTAATGATGCTGAAAATGTATCTTTACGATTCTTATATAATAAGAATTCTAATCAGTGTCTGTCAAATATCTAAAAATAACACATTTTTAATAAGCAAACAACAGCAAATGTGTGACACAGAACAAACACAGGGACAAATAATATCAGATCTGTGACCAATTTTTGGGTCACGACACAGTTTCACTGATCTAGGGTCTGGTCCACAAATACCAATAATTTGTTTACGTGTAAATATTGTCATGGAACAAACAACTAAACCAGTTTAATGTGCATCACCACATCTTGCCATATTATTAAAAATAAATGCTATATGAAAAAATAAAAACTATTTCATTTTAGTTTCAATGCTAACCTAAACAATTTGGATACTTTTCAATATGATATTTTTGATGATATCATTCTGAAACTGCAGTCTATAAATCTAAATGGTGAAGCCAAATACATCTTTATAAAATAAAACCTGTATAGCCTACATAGTTACATAGAGAGAAATAACATCTAGAGAGAGAAACCATAAGGCATTCTCGATGACTAACGTTTGACTGGAATGCGATGTCAGACCGAAAGTGCAAATCAAAATATCGATCCCGACCTTTCCTATTCCAGCAATATACGTTTCGTTTCACACGCGTGGTGTTTTTGGGAAAAGGATGATTTGACTTCTCACCTCCAAACCTAGAAAACAACGAACGGACAGTCTCAGGATTACTGTAGTCTCGACTTCCCGGAAGGGTGACGTATTCTCCCCAAGCGAGAATACCCGAGGATAGTGTTAAAGAAACAATGCGCACTCTGTGCTTCTTCTTATGAAACTGCTTTGTTTGTGCACCACTTAACCTGTGTCTGTGGCATAAAGGCCACACGACCTGGTGTTAGAAATAAATAATGAATACAAGTATATGAAATATTAAAATAATCTGACTGAATAATCTGAACAATAGGCTTGTCTTCACCAAAAATGAAAATTCGCCCTCAAGTTGGTACAAACCTGTATACATACACAGTATATAATCATCATCTTAAAGTGAAATTAATAATCATATAAATAATGTATCATTCATTTCACTTTACACAAAGTGTTTATTTATCACTTTTGTTTTTACCATATATGGTAAACGCACAAGTGAGATAAACACTTTGTGTAAAGTGAAACGAAAGATTTATGCAACATTATTACATTTAATCATTATTAAATGAAAGATACATGCAACATTATTATCATAATATTTATAGACCACATGTAAAATGTTCATAAAGTTATTAATAATGATGTTTTAAAAAATGAAATAAATACATGCAAACATTACTTCTTTTAAAAACGTGACTGCGTTAACACAGAATTTTGATAAGAATTCTAATCAAAAAACTGATTAGATTCAGACCTGCAATAACAATACTGTAGATAGCTTGAGGATGTGTCATAAAAACAAAACTGAAAGACACATGACTGTTGCTCTTCACATCCCAAGGAAGAAAGGAAAGGAAACTGTTTGAATATTGTTCGAGGGCCTTTATCTGAAACACAATTTTTAATGCCTTTTCTTTTACTTAACTTTTCACATTTTTGGAGATCAAAGACAACAATCAACAAGTTACAACAGATGGAAGAGTGAAATCCCTTCTCCTGAATATTCACGGTGTATTAATAGCCAACAGGTCAATATTGACATCATAACAGCTGTATCCATGTCCCAGACACAAAATGGCCACAGGCCTTTAAACACCTGTTTGACACGATGAAACGTAAGCACTCCGTGACTCTGCCCTGCCAGATATGATAAAGAGATGATAAGATGGTGAATACTTCTATATTAAGCTCTGTGTATAAGGTTTTAGATATAGATCATTTCGGAGTCCACACATGTCCGCTAAACGGCATCACTGTAAAAAAATATTTTCAAGATTTGTTATCACAAAAAGTTTTCTTTTGTCAAATCAACTTAAATCATTTATTTAGTTGAGATAACTTATTATTTTGAGTTTCTGATGATTAAATTAATCTCCTTGATTGTATTAACTCACTTTTTCCAGTTCAATCAACTTAAAATTTTAAGGCAACCAGGTTACTTACTTTTTCAAGTTAAAGCAACAATATTTTTTTACAGTGATAAATTAATTTCAACATACATTTTTACATTGTTTTAACTCATCAAAGTTCAACTTTTATATAAGTTATACAAGATTCAAAACTATTTAAGTCAGTTTAATACATTTAAGTTGATTGTACTTCATAATTTAAAATCAATTGAAAAATGTAGCACATCAATTTTTTACAGTGTAAATTAATACACTTCATACGATATTATTATCTGACATATATCAAACATACATCAACAATTATTTAGAAACTTTTAATAATGACACATAATGAATTTCATTGCATTGGGCAACATAAAATCAAATGCATCATGCAAACAATTTATAAGACATTTTCTCAGAACTAACTTCCCTTTTCTATTACAACTGGCGTCAAGGTGATAGTGAATGTATGAAGTCAGTTCCTCTTGAAGTTCACACTGCTGTCTAGCAGAATAACCGCAGATTACATTATATGGACATCTTAGAACATTTATTGTTTCTATAAATCCAACTTAAACTTTTTTTCTAAAACAAAAAAACAACTAGATGTATTTTTTTTAACTAGTGCTATTTGGTTTGGATTTAAAAAGATTTTTAAATTTTTAAATGCTTATGTAACTCCCTCATTACCTAGATTCATTAATTCGAATAAAATAGTTTTTGAGCCAGGCAGTCATAATTTCTCTTGAGAAAAATAAATATTGCCATGTTTTGACTTGTGTCAGGTTTACACACAGCTCCTTGGTAACATTATTTTGTGTTCAAGCTCAATTGAATGAAATAAGGGAGTGTTTTAGTAGGACTGGTAAAAGGAGATCATTGGAAATTTCTAGAACACTGGCATACTGGTAATGACCCAACCAGTGCGAGAAAGCTGCGCTTCGCGTCCAGGAGAGGAATGCAGACAGACTTGCCCACTCCCTAAAATCACTCCAAAATGATTCCGTTTAATATCCACAACTCAAAATAAACAGACAAAAGCTCATAATGTCTAATTTCACTATGTACTTTTGTCTTACTTCTAAAAAAATATTGTTGGTTAAACAAGTAAGTAACCTGGTTGCCTTAAAATTTTAAGTTTTTTGAAAATTTTTAATTTGATTGAACTGATTGAAAAGTGAGTTAATACAATGAAGGAGATTGATTTAATCAACAGAAACTCAAAATAATAAGTTATCTCAACTAAATAAATTATTTAAGTTGTGATAACATTTTTTTTTACAGTGAAATTTATTCTAATATTACATAAATAATAGGCATGCCTGTTCTAAAACAACTATACATCAGAGCTTTAGTGGAACATAAACAACATTTCCAGTAGCTTAAATGGATATTTCACCCAAAAATGAAAAGAAGATATTTCGAAGCATGTCGGAAACCAAACAGTCGATGGGCCCCATATTCCCCCCATACTATAAAAGTCAATGGGATCCATCAAGTGCTACCATATTTTTTCTAAATATATTCTTTTGCGTTCAGCAGAAGACGGAAATTCATGTTTGGGTGAACTATCCCTTTAACATTGATTAACCCACAGATAAAACAGGACATCAGGTTCACAACAATCAAAATAAAACATAATAAAGCCAGGTTTAATTACAACCTTGATATTGTAAAAGTTGAACACTGTAAAATGTCAATTCACTAAAACTGAAACGTTTGTTCTTTGTAAATTCGAAGTGGTGCCAAAGTTACACTGATAATTACACCTTCTCAATCTATGAATTTAAATGGTTGAACATGAATGTGAAAACATGCTTACTGCCGTATTTGATGTTCATTAATGGACTAAATAAAACACATCAAAACACTGACCTTGGGATCAGCTCTCCATCTTCATACAATTCTCCATTAACAAACAAAAAAGAGTGTGTTTAACAGAGAGAGAAGACTTGTCTGGTCTCATTCTGATCAGGCCAGTCAATTTCTCCTCTCCCAAGTCTTTTTTTTTTTCATAACTATTCAGCATTACATTAGAGCATACCAGAGATCCCATGTCATTATACGGGTATGTCTTTATTTGCTCATTAGGTTAACATGTCATCCTGCTACGATTTCGATTACTCCATTGTACAGACAGGGCGGGGGGCTGAGCATGCCCAGTTATGGTGCGCGCAGAGGGTTGCCTGATTGCATCATTGCAAAGACATACTATAAATAGGGTGACGTCACTCGCCCCGCCTCTAGTAGTAGTTCACGTCCTCCAGCCATTAAAAGGGGTGATGCAACGAGCCGGGCGACAACAGTAACGTTACCAGCTGAGAGAGCGAGAACACTCCAGCCGGCGGAGAGCATCACAACACGCGCGTTTTATTCAGCAAAAACAAGGTCAGTGACAACATTCTTTCTCTTGTTATTTATGGCTTTTGTTGTACCTGTTCTAGAACACACTCTGGAAAATGTCGAGGCTATGTTGTAGCTAAATCGACTGAATTCAATATTGTGTTTTTGGATAAAGCGATTGTTTATAATACTTTATAGGCTATTCAAAATGTTATCTTATATTTTACTATATGTATTTATATATAATTAATTATTTGTTTATCTTATAGTCGAAGTTATCTTGTTCTCAAGAATAGTTGCAAAACGTGCGGAACTGCGCTGCAGTAACTCGTGTTGTAATATTTGTATAATAACTGATTATGATATTCTATTGGCGAATCTTTATAGGCAACTGTGAAAAATATTTAGGCTATCAATAACTGTTTACTATAGCAACCAACACTTTGGGTAAAGTGTCACCGGATTAGAGTTTATTAAATAAACAGTTAAAGATGATGATTTTATAGGATTATCTACTTATGATTGTAGACCTGCTATGCATGTAATTAGAGAATATATTTTACATTTGAGTATGGTAATTGAATGTAGTCGCATAACTTTTGAATAAAGCAATAACAACAAAAAAGTGTGATATAGGCTATATCGACTAAGCTATATATGTTACGTCAGTGTGACTGTAAAAAATACGGTAAAATATTGACAACTGTGGTTAAAAGAAACCCTTTAAAAAGTAATGTGATGTTAAAAGTATTACTATAGGCTATGTCACACTTTCTATGTCATTATATTGTGTTAAAATACTAACTTGTTTGAGCTATTCAAATCTGTTTGCCACTGTAAATGTACTGAGAATAAGAGAATATGTGGTACAATTTAAGGCTTTGATGAATATCACTTTGAAAATTTGTCTGTGTGACTATGTAATAGCCTATTATTATTATTATTATTATTATTATTATTATTAAAAGACAGAGCACAGATTTACAAACACAAAGCCCCTTTAGGGTAAAACATAACCTTGAAATTATTCTAAAAAATGAACTAAACATGAGCTTCTGGGAATACCCCTTTCTCCTGAAATAATAACAGTATTTTACTTTAAAAGTAGGCTATATTTATGAACTTGTTAAATATATTTTTCAATTGTAAATAATATATTGAAACAATATTTATAAATATATTTAATACAATTATATAAATTCATACTTTTTATTTCTATTATAGATCTGAACACTATTTTACAGTGCAATTACATGTATTGATTTCATTGTTTTATTACAGTTAATCATTCAATAGCCTATGTTTTTTTTTACAGTAACTTTTTTACATTCTATCTTTTTTACATTATTTAAGTTGGTAGTCTAATATTTTATAGAGAAGGGGGGTGGGGGGGAGATAGTTTCTAACTGACTACAAAAAAACTTCTGAAATGATCTTCTCTTATCATGACCATGACTTAAGTCTTGCCTCATATGTTTTAGATTTCGGAATGATGCTTCAGCATCCTGGCTTGGGTTCCTTGGAGATCAGCGCATCGGCTTTGGTTCCCTGCCTCTCCCCGCCAGGCTCTCTCACACTGGACGACTTCACCAACTTCACTCCATTAGTGAAAGAGGAGCTGCGCTACGCCATCCAGAACAAACGCATGTCAAACGGCATGAGCACCTTGACCACTGATCGAGCATGTATGAACAGCGAACGACCCCCTGAACTACCTGTAATGAAGCGACTGGTAAGAATGACTCATTTACAGTAATCGCATTTAAAATGAAAGTAATTTCTTGTATTTCACATCGGTTATATTGAGTAACACACACGTAGAAAAGCCATGCTTGCACAATTCTTTGTTCATCCACTTGTGGATCGAATTCAGAACCATTAGATATTTCATAAAATCCATATTCATTACACAATGTGGGCATATGTTTTTAATGTATGTGATGAATATTATAATTTTAGGCCACTCCAGAGGAGAGTGAACGAAGAAAAAGACGGAGGGAAAGAAACAAAGTTGCAGCAGCAAAATGCCGAAACAAGAAAAAGGAGAAAACCGATCATTTACAAAAGGTACTCTTTATTTCCTCTTTATATACTATATATATATATATATATATAATTGTTTACATTAATGTTAATCAATTGAATATAATTATTTTATATATACACACACACAAACAATACATTTATATAATTGATTACATTAATATGAAGATATTTAGATATATTTATTAAGCGTGTGTGTTTGTATATAATATATATATATATATATATACACATATATACACACACACACTTAAGTATATCAAAATATCTTATCTATAACTGATATCTAATATATAATTGATTATATTAATATGAATTAATTGAATATATATTCAATTAATTAATATTAATGTAATCAATTATATCAGTTAAAAATATTATATTATAATTGATTACATTAATATGAATTAATTAATTGTATTATATATATATATATATATATATATATATATAATGAATTAATAATATTATAATGAAATAATATTATATTGACTGATATAATTGATTACATTATTAATCATATATATTTATGATTAATTTATTTTAATTTACAAACATTTTACACTCATTTATATTCAATGAATGGCTTTTGTTTTTTGATTCAGGAGTCCGAGAAGTTGGAGTCCATCAACGCCGAGTTGAAAGCCCAGATTGAGGAGCTGAAGAACCAAAAGCAGCAGCTAGTTTACATGCTCAACCTGCACAGGCCCACCTGCATTGTCCGCGCTCAGAACGGCCAGACCCCTGAAGATGAAAGGAAGCTCTTCATCCAGCAAATCAAAGAGACCACCCTGCAGGGTCTGAATCTAACCATAAGTGGACCAACACACACCGTGATACCAACTAGCTGTGGGCATCTCTGAATCCCCCAAACTGTACAGGCAAGAAGCTAATGGCTCCGCAATCCTCGCCAAGGAACACTGGGAGGTTCACCCACGTTATAAAGGACTAAACACGGGTGCCTGCCATGATGCCACTCAAGGTCGGTCTGATGTACACTGAAAGAAAGAGACTGTTAAAGCACTAAAGTGTTGAAGGACGTCTGATGCGTTTTTCTCTTTATTTAAATGTTCGTAAATGTATATGCTTTTTGTATGCACCAAAGCTTGATGTCATGTTGACGCCAGAACGACATGATGTCTTCTATTTATCGGCTTGTTGGTTGAATGAAACCCTGGCGGTGGGTTTGACAGCAAGTACTATTCTAGTGAGGGGGTAAACCTAGTGATTTGTGTGTATCTTTTTCATTATTTTGGCAGACATACAGGGTGATGAATGAAGTTGTTTAGTTTGGTTACAAATGTATCTGTGGCCTCTGTCGTGTTAAGTGTCCACATAACATGCCATGTGAAGTATTTCAAGCTGCTACTAATCTCTCAGGACTTGGGCTATGTATATTACAGGAAACTCATGCTAAAACAGATAAAATAACAGGGAAGTCGACGAGGAGTGGACTTTGAGACGCCACTTACGTACAAGGAAACCTCTACCCTTCACCACTGAAAGGCTGTCTATCACCTCAGACATCTGACTATATTGTTGTTACAATGCTGTGAGCAGGAGGGTCTGCATTTATCAGCCCACTGTAAAAAGAAAGAAAAAAGAAAGTGTTTTTTGTGCTTTTAGCAAGGACATACTTATTTTCTGATGTATAATGTAGCTGTGTGTTGTTATTGTCTATAGACCAGCTGACAGTGAACCATCTCGGAACGTTCTGACAAGGTTCTCTTAAAGTCATGAGCAAACGTTCTTAATAGAATGTTCCTTTAAAGTTATGTTCTCAAAACCTCATTAATACATTGTTCATCTTTTTCTGTAATAAGTTGTTTTATATAGTTACTACTTGTTTTAGAACAATCGGAGAACATTCAAAAGTGACATTCTCAAAATGTTTGTAGAAATGTTTAAATGGAACGTTTGCATAACCAAGACAGGGAAATTAGATGTTTTAAAGTGTCAGAGAACTTTGGGAGGTAAAGTTTGCATTATGTTTGCAAAAATGGAACATTCCCTTAATGTTTTGTTTAACGTTTGCATAACCAAAACAGGTTTTTTTAATTGGATCAGAGAACATTCAACTTAATGGGAATGTTAGCAAAACGTTCTTAGAATGTTATTGTTAGCTGGAAAAAAAGAAGCTTAAAATATTCAATGTAAAGCTTGAAATATTCAACGTAAAGCTCTTAATAATTGTCTGGCTGTGTTCCTGGGTCATGTGTCTAGCACTTTTAATGTCACGCCATGTTGTTAGTGAAGAAACACATACCACAAGACATCTGATCGGGCCCTGTGACTGTATTGCCTAATATTACAGAAAGGTGTTAGAAATATTTTAAAATTCAAGAAACTCCCTAATCTTTTTACAAATTTCTGCCTCTTGTTTTTGAGTAGTCTAAATGTGTGTTCTGTCGTGTAGTGAAAGGTTAAGTGACGCAGGCGTCAGGTAGATATTTCCTTTTTTTTTTGTTGTCGTTGTTCAAATAGGCATGCCACAAAATGTGGTACTACTGACATTATATGTGCAATGAAAACAAAGCTTTCTGTTTGTGGTTAAACCAGGTTTTATCCATCACATCATTGCTGTCCACATAAGAGTTCAAGTGCACTTGCTACCAGAAGTCATGTTTGAGAAGGTATAATGGGCTGTATTCAATTGCATATTTATATAAAATGGCTTCATTTTGACTGTCTGTTGTTTGTTTTTGATACTTTATTAATAAAAAAAATACCACTTGCATTTGAGTCATGCTTTGAGGTCAAATGTTATTATGATTGAATCACCCTGATTGCATCAGAAGAGGCAACACCTTGTCATGTAAGTGTACTTGAGGTGTTCAACAAGCAGTTGTGTTGAGATATTTGCTGAAGGGCAAGCCCGCACATGTATAACTTGAGAAACGTGCTGAGTGTAAACCCCTGAGGTGATCAAGTTCATGCAACCAGTGAGCAATGATTCAGCATTTTCTGCTGATTTGAATGATTACTTCTGTTAAAGTGGGTGGTTTAATACAAGGAAAACACATATTATGATTTTTAATTGATTAGAGATGATAATGTAAGGCTTTTAGAAAAAGTCTTCTGAAATTCCCCTGAAAGCCCTCTAGGGTTGTGTTTTGGTAACTCCCTTTTTGGACAAAAGTGCAGGAATTATTCTGAATTTTAAATAATTGGTTCGTTTTAAAAACAATTTCTAGAAGAAGAAAAAATGTGGTTGTACAGGAACTAAAAGTACCTTTTAAACCTTTCTCTTTGAGAGGGAGTTATTTAGCATGACTGTTTTTTTAATAGGGATAAAAGTACACAGACAAACTGAAACTGCCTTACTTTCATTAATCAAAAGCAAATACAATATGTAACCAGGCAATGATGTAGAATTTCTACCAAAAATAAAATATAAGAGTCTTCTTTTTTTGTCAAAAATAGCCTTTATTGCAAATATGGCACTAAATGACTAAATAAAATAAGGGTCCGACTCCCAAGGTTGATGTTCTCTGCCAGAGTCAAAGGTGAGTTAAATATTAAATCTTATATGGCTGCAGATAATCTGTTGAAAACCTAAATTAAAAGCCTTCGTGCCATAGTTGCTTTCTCCACCCTTTCCGTGATCCACAATAAAAAACATACTTTTTGGCCTTTTTATTTGCTGTATGCTCCAGTTTAGTTTGAACTCGAGCCATTCATGTTTGTGCACATCCCTTAATGTAGAAAAACATATTTATGGGGCAATCAAGTCTTAGTTGCTGCTCATTGCTTCATCATTGCTGATGCAGATTGATGTCAGCCATGTGATGATAAACTCTTGAATAACTTCCACCTCTTTTCTGAAAACATACAGCGCCCATAAAGGCAATAAACCCTGCATTACCATCACCAGGAAACATACACTCTTTGTTCATATTTGTTTCCCAATCAGTGCACTGAAATGAATCACTATTTGCAATTAAATTTTTTTAGGTATGAACACACCTTTGGAACTACAGTAAATGATCACCACACGGAATGTATTTTTTAATATATTTTTTAATTTGTGAATATGAATTTCTATTTAAATCCGAAATACATTGCATTCCTTTGACATCTTACAGTGAGCTGGAAGTGACCCCGGTTCATAACACCATGACCTGACTTTCACAGTAATGCAAGTGCACTTTGCCCTGTCAGAATGTGAACAAACATGGTCAATAAATGCAATCAGCGGAAACTTCACATTCTGATGCAACCACTTAAAACTGTTGCAATGGAATCTTAAGATGTCAAAAAGGGTGTTGTAATGCTATTTCAAACACCGGTGTTATAACCTTTGAACACTATAGTAATGATTTTAATGGTTTTGATGTGATGCATTCCTGACTGACAGGCTTTTACCTTGTAAGATAGGAGGAACACTTTACTCCTTCAAGGTTAAAACGGTAAAAGTACCATTCACAACCCTGAGGTTATTTTTCCTAGATTAATGATTGCATTTAGCGAACAGTCTAGACCACTTCCTGCCCAGTTACATGGAAATGTCCCTTCTTTTTACTACGGGGGTGCTCAAGGAAGCGTGGGTTCAGCGGGAACGTCAATGTCCACATTCTTCTTTAAGTTCCTGTAAGGCTTCCAAGAGTTTTTAGATGCGAGTTCCAAGGGCAACCACCTACAGTCTCTATACCAGGAACTTACAGATATAAGGAAGGAAAAGTTACCATCACAGAACTTAGACACACCCCTAATTTCCCATTTCACAATTGGAATTTGCATTCGCCTCTTTTCAGATTCAAAAACATGTCCACTTTAAAAGGCAATGTTAAAGTTTCTGATAATCTTTTCTACTTCCTTCTATTTTCGTGTTGTGACTAAGAGACATTTCCTTACAGCTCCGACGCAGCCTGAACGTTTACGATGTAGTAGAAGACATAGGCTACATTTGTTGCAAATATTGATTAAACAGATTATTTACAAACTATTTTATCAGTATTTTATCTATTTTTCAGTATATTTACATCAAAGACGTAGATTAAATAAAATATAATTTAAATAAAATTTTGATGCATGTTCATTAACAAATGTGTCCACTAGAGGGCATGGCAATCAAACAATTGTAATAGGCCACAAAATCTATCTATCTATCTATCTATCTATCTATCTATCTATCTATCTATCTATCTATCTATCTATCTATCTATCTATCTATCTATCTATCTATCTATCTATCTATCTATCTATCTATCTATCTATCTATCTATCTATCTATCTATCTATCTATCTATCTATCTATCTATCTATCTATCTATCTATCTATCTATCTATCTATCTATCTATCTATCTATCTATCAAATATACTGTGTTTTCTAACTTTTTAAATATAATTAGCCTATCTAAATGTAAATAATTTTAGTCCCAATCTTTTTTTATTAGTAATTAACCAGACAAAACACAACTGTACATTAATTGAATCAAAAAGAGAAGAAAAAAATGACACATTTTCTTATATTAAATCCCTCCCTCCGCTATTCAAACTTCTAACCAAATTCTCAACAAATAAGTCGAAATGAAATGACTCAGAATGGTTCACACTTATTTCTAATGATGTGACCAAAACCAACTGTACATAATATAAGTCAGTTCAGAGTGGCAAAATTGACTCAAAATGTTGCACTGATTGTTGATAATAATGGATAACAATATGAGGGAGAGAAAGAAGAGTGTGTGTGTTAGAGGAGGAAGAGGATGAGGGCAAGGTGTGGAGAATGTTGTCATGGCTGGATCTGCTTCGTGGTTTTTCGCTTTGCCAGCAGAGATGATGTGGTGTCTGTGATGCGGACAAAATCATGAAGACATGATGCTGAAGCAGAATACAATCTCTCTTACTGACCCTGATTCTGCAGTTGCACAAATCACAAAGTGACTACAACATGCTTTCATTATTTTAGACTTTTTTTTTACTGTAACCTTTTTGGCTTTTGAAGTTGGGTCACTCTTTTTTCACAGTAAACTATTTATTCACCTTACTACAGTAAATTAAGATTATACTTTTTTGTTACAACTCACTTTTTTTCTGTAACTGCATTCTGGATTCTGTGCTCTCCATTTTTTGCTTTAGTGTATAACGAATGATCAGAAGTGTTTATAATATTGATTTGCTGTGTGTATGATCTGAAAGCAGATCAAATGGTTTCGAGGCAATTGTTTGATTTTTCCGGAAGATTCAGAGGTTCTCTGAATGTAGTTTAAAGATTTGGTTTTGTGTTTAAGGTTTTGAGAAAGTGGCTGATGGTTCTGAGAAATGTATTTTAGCAGTTCAGAAAAACAGTAAAATCAGCAACTCACTCCCTATATTCAAGGGAGAGAAGTAAGAAGAAGAAAAGAAATAGGCTAAACAACAACAATAAAAAAATATATATTTATTATTTTCCCTCACCAATATGAATCTTTCCTCTTTCAATTAGTTAGATTTAATTACAGTGTATACACTGTATATATATTATACACTAATATATACATTGTGTAAATATATTATTATTTTTTTTATTATTTTTTTGACATTTTTATACGGAACTTGCTCTGTGTCAATTGTTACTGAAACTCTCTGATATTTTGGGGAAGAGGTAAAACGTTCAAATCCAGGAATACAGACCTTTGTGACCAAAGTTAATAGAGGTGTTAGTTTCATTGCCATTTGCATTCATATGCTTCTACTCTACTGTACATACCAGATGACCCATTTGTGATGCATCATGTATACATTTTTTTTTTAAACGTATCTTTGCAAACAGTATCATGAGGCTATGCATTAATAGTTTACCCATGCTAAACAATTCCATGTGCATAGTCATGAACAAACAAATATACCATATTAAAACTTTCTGTTTTATAAGTTTGTTTGTTTTTTTTACATTGTCAAACAATGCTTTTTGGCTTTAACGTTTTAAAACGAAAGTCAACAGATCCAAACTCAAGGACATTTCAGAAGAGAAGAGAAAACTGGAAGAGAAATATAGAAGTGTGTACCCTGCACTGGTTAGGAAGGTAAGTCCATGGGAGTTTGAGGAAGTGATACACACAAGAAAAAAAATCAGACCACCATCTTACCGCAACCACCCCCAGATATGGTTTCAACACAAATGAGAAAAAAAAAATACACATGTGGTCATTTTCTGATTCAGTGACCTCATTTTAATAGAAATTGAATCACTATTACAATTTACGCTAGTGATTTCAATCTGCGTCATACAGTTTATAAACAGAGTGATTCCTTTTTATTAAAATAAAATAATTCCCCTAATACTTACAATCACCACAGCAAAACATGAATACGCAAGACAGAATAGTAACATTGACATTTGAATTGAGCTGTTGTGGTTATTTTTAATAGTGCAGCAATATCAAAACTGCTGTAACAGACTTTTGAAACTAACCTTAGGTATTTTGGTCGGACACGCTCTCATAAAGCAGAAGTCCCTTCTCGCATGTCGTTCATTCACTGCCCATCAACTATGGTATAACAGATGGTTTAGTTAGTGGTTATGGACTCTATCACAGTAAATATTGTGGATTTATTCACGTGAGGCATAACCCCATGGGAAAAGTAACATACGACTACAGAGAATCTGTATTCTGAACCTATCAAAATGCAAACGAGAATGTTTGAGCGTGAATTAATCATTCAACAGCATGTTAACGGAAAACACAGCATACTGAACTCACGGGTTAATACTTTAAAATAAAAAGCATAAAAACTGCATGCCGCAAGTCACTTGCATTTAGGATACTTCATTTATCCTTAAATGGAAATTCAGACAGCATGAGCAGCATCAGGTGTGAGTGAGTCTTCATCTAGACATAAACTCAGGTGGCACTGTGCCTGTGGACCTTGTTGTGGGGGTCATACAGTTCACGACAGGGCATAAAGGCTCATGGGCTTTGAGGGCATCTGTTAAGCATTGCTGTTCCTCAATCAAAAGCTGGACTTCCTTCCTCAGCAGGCTGTTCTCCTGTTCCAGACACTCATACTCCTGGTTAAACAAAATTTCAGTATGTCAAAAACCACATCAATCACATGCGCATCACTGTGCATTTGGTGTATTTTCCCATGTCTGCCCACTTATTGTCAACATATGTCTATGGAGTAAAACCTGTTAAACAAGCAGTTTACCGGAAAGAAAAAAAAATGTTGAAATCAACATATTTAGGCTACATTCTATACAATAAGCAGGTTACAAACCTCGTGCAACTCGTCAGCTCTCTGGGTTTGTTTTTTGCGGCTTCTCTGTGCAGCAACTCGGTTCTTTTCTCTTCTTTTCAACCTTTTCTCATCATCATCAGAGCTCTGAATCATAACCAGATGTTGTAGAAGTTATGCTGTGTTGTTTCTCGAACATTTTGCAATACTGTGCAGGATTAACGTATTAGTAAATCATACAATCATTTTGGATGGCACTGATCCATCGATGAGAATGAACATGTTCGATAGTAGTTTGTAAATTATGTAGGCTTTACTCATTTATAACAGTTTATGCGTTTGTAATAATTTAAAGAAAAGAAACAAGCATAAAAAGTTACATACCTCACTCTTTCGAAACAACCGTAAAGCTGGAGCATCATTTCGAGTAAAGTTACTTGTCGCATTGAAAAGTGACATGACAGGTGCAGGAGAGCACGAGCACAATGAAGACTTACGCCCACTAAACTTGATGGAAAATGAAACCTGCAAATTAAGAGTCCGTGTTAATTAACGCAAGTTTAGGCATTTTTAAACTGTCAGTCAACGTGCTACAGTGACATTAATGATTTCTTGCAAATGCCGTCGGCGGATGTTCTTTGAAGTCACGTGGTGCTCTCGAGGACGCCACAGTAACTTCGGTCGGGTTTTCGCTTTTGGGTCATTCCACGAAATGACAATTTCAATCCGTTTACTTCACAATTTTGTCAGTTAAACTTCCTCCACCCTTTTGGAGAAAATGAGATAAAAAAAATAGTGTCAGATTTTCATCTCTGTTCACGAGGGATACAATAGAATAGAGGGACCCTTTCAATTAGTCCACGTTTTTATATATATATATATATATATGCCAGTTAATTTGGAAACCAACACTGGTAGACCAAGAACACCTTGTGGTATGAACCTGAACCACATCATCACAACAGTTCTCTAAAAATGTAATTTATTGGATTTAATGGAAAAAGAAAGTGACGAAAAACTTATTTTTTTCTAAGCTACATGCATGAAGTATTTCTGACCAGAAAAACTATTTACATTAAATGAGTAAGAATCAGCATACAAAACACTTATTTAGTAGCAGGTGTGAATGCACTCTTATACTGCCCTTCTCCATTTCCACACAAACACATACATATTAAATAGTTTTTGCATCAGTCTTTTGGATGATTTTTGGAGCAGGAACATAGTCTGCACTGTATTCTGAATCAGAAGCAGCTCTTTTGATGCTGGATGGAAGCCTGTGGTGAAGGTCTGGACAGACATCTCCTACTGAGCTGCCGAACACTTCTCTGTAGACTTCCACCGTCTCCGCTGAAGTCTGCATGTCGAGAACTTGACGCAAGCCCTCAGCTGCCTGCTTTAGGCTTTTCAGAGACTGAATAGAATGAAGGAAATTGGGGAATGTTAATACAAATGTATTTTTGTCTATAGCTATAACTGAGATTTTCAGTTTGTTCGTATACTTAAAGATTTTTTAGTTTAAATAGACAAGCACATAGTAACATGCAATTCAGATGTACATGCAATCCAGAAGAACTGAATAAAGGTAAATAACATTGATTTGTACCTTCATAACCGTACTGGCTTGTTTGAACATTGTAGGTGCAGCGGCGGAAACATTTCTGATGATAGTGTCTGTGAATACAATGTTGAACAGGTATTTATTAATATTGCATAAAGCAATGTTTCTATCACAATGTACTTTTGCAAAAAAAAAGAAAAAAATGATTGGGGCACAGACCTTGAGCTGGATCCGGCTTTATCTCTTGTGTTTTCACTGCCTGTTCATACAAACCCTAAAATGATAGATGAACAATAACCATATGAGCTACATTCACACAGCAACACCAGGGGATTTAGTCTTCTAAAAAAACAAGCTGAGCTGTTCCAAAAAAAAAAAAAAAAAGTGCAAAAAAGTTTATTGCACTTTTTATCCTAGTGATTCATGAGTTACAGCAAAGCAAAAACAATAGATCATTTTTGAATATATTAGGACATCTAGTGGCCATAGGTGGAACTTTAACATTTTAACAGAACTAATTTACAGCATGATGGGTGTTCCCAAATGGTGATAATAAAAATTGCAAATAATAAAAATATATAAACATATTAAAATTAATAGTAATTTTCTAATGGTATTACTGATTAAATAACTGATTATGTTTTACTTAGAAAAATTGCAGAAAAATTTGGATTTATGCTATGCTATGACTGGATCATTACCGCAGTGATAATTACGTTTCTAGCATGTTATATGTTTGGCAACAGTTCTTCTAACCCTAATTAATGGAGTGTGTAGCTTTTCATTTCTTAAACAACCATGTAGGAAACATCATGGTCATATTCCAAAGATTCATCAAACTGTGAAAGAATGGCTGGGAGCTTGAATAATCATTTTCACACATGAATTGGCACCTCTGAATGACCTTAAATTCATTGATGAAAATAACATCACCTATCATTTATAAAATGTCAAATTTTTGTAGGGCTGGGTATCTAATCTGATGTTGCAATTCGATTTGATTGAATGAATATAGAATTCATACAAATCCTATATTTATAAAAAAAGAAATTAAGAGCCACAAACCTGTATAATAAACTTATAATTTTAGGTACAACTCTTTATTTCAAATGCATACAATGAATAGACTTTGATGCAAGATTAAAATTTGATACTGAAAATTGCATGCCTTGATCAAACAGGATCAGGTTATTTTATGTTAAAGATAATACAAACATAAATAAAAATTGATTCGTGGCCTTAGAATTGACCACATTTTTAAAAACGATTCATCAAAAAAAAAAATTTTTTTGTTTTTTTTTGCCCAGCCCTACATTTTTGGTCACACTTCATCAATTAGGATTAGAAGAACTGTTGCCAACCATACAGCATGCTAGAAGCATAATCATCACTGCAATAATGACCCAATCATAGACTGTTAGTGCTGTCAACTCGATTAATCGCATCTAACATAAAAGTTTGTAAAACTATGCGTGTATAGCATATACACAGTACACAGACTTCTAATGATCTTTCGTAATTCACAAATATTTGTGTAATGGGGTTTTAAATGAAAAGAAAAACAGCTTGTCTCACCAGAAGTTTCCTCTCAGCTCTTAATGACCGCACAACCTGCTTGCGTATTTGTTTTGGGAAAGAGTTGCGTTTGCAGGCAGTCTCTACTATCTTCTCATCCAGAATGTCATTTACAGTGCTCTCATTATCTATATAAAAAAAAGGTTCATTATGTCATTGCCTTGGTTTGCAAAACAATTTCTCTGAAACTGTGACAGCAACTTACCTTCACAATATTCCTCGGACGCCTCGTCCCAAGACAAGCCACCAATAACTATATTTTCTTGTACTGTGAACTCAAAATTCTAAAAGATAAAAAAAGAGCCAAATAAGGTGAATGGAAGAAAAAACTAAGACTATGACAACAAAGATGATGAAAAACTATTTGAAGTTAATTTACGTTAGTCTAAACACATTTACCGTTACAAAAATGTTCTATAGTTTTGTTATAGTATAGTAACTATAGTATACATGGTTTGTATACTATACAAGTATCTATACACTGTATACTATACACTCAAATATGAGTTTGAGTGGTACATGGTTTATTTTCTTAAAGGGATACTCCACTTTTTTTGGAAATAGGCTCATTTTATATCTCCCCCAGAGTTAAACAGTTGGGTTTTACCGTTTTCGAATCCATCCAGCCGATTTTCTTATATTTAGAACTAAGAAAATCAGTAACCAGACAGTTTCTGGTCTCATTGACTTCCATAGTATATTTTTTTCCTACTATGGAAATCAATGAGACCAGAAACTGTCTGGTTACTGATATTATTCTAAATATCAGAAAATCGGCTGAATGGATTAGAAAACGGTAAAACTCAAACGTTTAACCCAGAGGGAGTTGTAAAATGAGCCTATTTCCCAAAAAGTGGAGTATCCCTTTAGGAAAATAAACCATGTACCACTCAAACTCATATTTGAGTGTATAGTATAAAGTGTATAGATACTTGTATAGTATACAAACCATGTATACTATAGTTACTATACTATAACAAAACTATATAGAACTACAGGCACAGATAATAAAAGTCGATGTCATAAGTAACTTATGTTTACCACAAAAATACCACAGGAAAAAAACAGATGGTGTTACTATAGTAAAAAAACAAATACAAAGTAAACTTGATATAGGAACTGACATTTACTAGACTTACCACAACCATTTCTTGCAACAGTTTGGCCTTATCTTCCTGAGAAATATTGCATTGGCCATCGAGCAACTTTTTAAATAAGTCTTTATACTTTTCAAGTTGATCACGAACAATTTTTCTCGACTTGACATTTACTCTCGAATCCACCCCACTCGCACGGTCGTCCTCCATGACTGCCGCTTATTTTTCAAAATAACACTGGAAACGGAAAAAGAATGTGTTACTACGAAACAAACCCTGAAAAACAATTGAGCGGAAGAAACGTTCCACCCTTCACACAATCGAGAGACGCACATAGGCTACACCAGCTACACGGACAGATGGAAAATGCCTTTAATAGTGATAATGAAAAACAAAACAACGAGTAGTTTAAAAACAAGATTATTTTTGAAGAGATAAATATTTTATAGACCCTACACTTAAATCATGGCTAGAGAGTTAATTGACTGCCACTGTCACCTTTCAGCAAATGAGTTTACACAGGTAAGAAAACTCATCGAGTCATCAAATTCAATTGCGAAATACTTATCATAAAGTACTAATAAGGCCTTTATAGTCTTATCTGTCACATCTTTATAAATTTGTGTTACAACCGTACTGAGAGATAAAAAATTTAAAAACCACTTAAAACCGGTTTAGCTATCAGACTGTTGTTTAGAACTAATCTAATTATTCTGCCATGGTACAGGCAATTACATTATGTCCTAAAAGTTACAGTAATCAAATACAAATCTTTTCATATAACGTAGTGGTTTATGTAAACTGGCTATGTATGTCGTCAGTATCATTGTGTAACTATACAGATAAAGTTATATCTGTTTTGTTGCCACACCAAGCAGAAATCAAGTTCACAGTGATACAGTTACAGAAGCTAGTTATTTTCATATTATTTCCCTAGGACATTGATGATGTACTTTTGAGAGCAAAAAAGGTAAGCCTTTGTCAAGCTTCTGAAAATAACTGATAATAAACTAGATCCAAATGTTGCAACAATGACCTCTTCTGTTTAATGTAATTTTAGACTGGAGTGAAAGCTCTTGTGGCAGTTACAGAGGGAGCCAGTGAGTTTGAGAAAGTTATTCAGTTGTCAAAAATGTAAGTTGAACACAACTTCTCATGTGTCAACAAAAGCTGTGGACGAGAACGCTCTCACTTTCCTGTTGCCCTTACCGGACAAGCACCGGACACATGCAGCTTTGCTAATATTGAATGTTTTTCTTATAGCTACCCTGGTTTTGTGTTCCCTTGTTTTGGCATTCATCCCCTTCAAGGGTCAGGGAAAGACTTACACAGTGTCAAGGTTCAGGTGAATATGAGAAAAATAACAAAGAAAGATAGTTTTACTCTGCTTCATATGCTATATTATGATCTTTTGGTGCGAAGATCAAAGATTAGTTTTGTTTTGACAGGACCTGGAGCCATTCCTTCCTTTGTTCCAGAAGCACAGAGATAATATTGTTGCCATTGGAGAGGTAGAGTATGATAGTGTCTTGGAAAATTATTTCAAACAGACACTATTGGGGATTTTTTTTTTAAATAAAATTATTGGAATATTATTTTGAAATGACCCAAACCAAAATAAAACATTAAGCTTACTTTAATTACATAGTTGTTATACCTTTTTAATGGACATTTAATACTTCCAAAGGGGCCTCTATATGACTTAAAATTATTATAAAATAATACAGAACAAGCTTTCAAATAAGCCAAAACAAGTAAATATACACAAGATATGAAAACACATATTTCTTATTTTAATTAATATCCTCAACAACTGTTTTTTTTTCTATGAAGAAACCTAATTCCCATAGCAAGCCTAGTTTTAAAAGTGTGATTTCTAGACCTGGGGAAAAAAATCATGTAAATGAGTCAAATCTTGTAACACCATGGATATTGTTTTGTTTTACTGAAAATACATTTTTCTAGTTGTGAAAAGCTCTAACATACTTTATCAGGTAGAAATTTGCAGGAAAGAAAAAACAGTATCCTTAATCCTTATCAAGTAAATCATAAAAACTTGAAGTCATGGGGGGCTTCAAATATTGTTGTATTTAATGGAGGGCCTTGGAGTCAAAAGTTTGAGAACCATTGGTCTAGGTATAATGAAACCATTTGTACGAGACTAGTAGAGCTAGAGAGACTTTGAATCTTGAGTGTCTCTAGTTCAACTACCTGTTTGATCTACTGTATGCTTACCAGTATTTTTTTTTTCTCAACAGATTGGTCTTGACTTTACCCCCTGGTATGCAAATACTAATCAAGAGCGTGATGAACAGATACAAGTCTTTACAAAACAACTTGAAATATCTAAAGAACTGGATTTGCCCGTGTGAGTGGCAACATTATATTTTAGAGAGTAACAGGAAACCATACAAGCTGCCCAGAAATGTTGCATGATTTGCCACATTACTTTGCTCAAACGGCAAACTGCGACCTTATTGTCACAATCTTTTTTCTTGCCGGTGCAACTAAATTTTGTTAAGAGCTGCTATTTCTGTTGCATATGAAAACATCAAACGGCAAATTAAATGAAGAACGAACATTAATAACATTTCTGCGAGATCTAGTGAGAAGAATTTAAATTCGGTGCAGAATTCCCTTTTATAATATAAACCATAGATATCAGATCGAACAGCACTGATGTGGAATCTAGAAAAAACATTGTTCCATGAACAAATGAGTTATGGAAGGCTTTTCAGTTCATAAATCACCAATATTCACTATGGATTTTATGTTGTAACGCTAACTGTTACCATGGTATTGTGGCAGAAATAGTTGAATAGGTCAGGGTTCGTGAGAGTGAAATTCAGGCACTTTTTTGCTTCACACTTTTTCCAGCACTTCAGAGCTCTAAATGTAATTCAATTAAAATTGTATTTTTAACGTGATAAAAAACAACAACAAAAAACAGCATGGTTACACTTTATTTTAAGGGGTACATTGTATGTACAAGTGTTTTTTTTTTCACATGTGACTTCATTTTAAAAGTTAATTTTATTTGTATCTCAACTCAAGCTCAGTGCTCTACTGTCAAATGTGCATTTCCAAGAAATACACATTTAATATTATTAGTTACTGCACAAATTAATGCAATATAATAGTCATTTTATGAATAAATTACCTTCATGTTTAAATTTCCTGCTATCAGATCAGTTGCCACCATCTGTAGAACTTAGTGGCACCAAAGCTACTGCCCTCAAATGTTAATCTGGAGCCGTAGCAACATTTATTGTATATCTTGAACTGACAGTTCATTTTGCAGTCTCTTAGACGCTCTTAACTCTTGTCTTGAAGGAATGTACATTCCCGCTCAGCAGCCAAGGCTACCATAGCCACAATGAAAGAACTAGGTAAGAGCTACCAGCTAGCAAATCATTGTGTCTCTGTGACCTTTCTGAATTTCTTGCATAATTCTGCTTTTATGTCTTCAGGGATTGGCCAAGCATTGTTGCATAATTTTGCCGGGAAGCCATCGGTTGCCATGGAAGGGGTTCAGGCTGGATTCTCCTTCTCCTTTCCGCCTGCCGTCAGCAAAAACGAGCAGGTTTGATAAGGATTCTCCTTTAATAACTTTGCTCGTCTGCCATAAAGTCATAAATAAGTATGATAAGTATGCAATAAAGACATGAAACATATATTAAGAAATCTCAGATGACCCTGTTCCACGTCGCACATCCCCGTACACAGAATGTTTTTTTGACCTGAAAACCTATGTATGATTTAACTGTAGAATCTCAGAAAAAAATGGTCCAAAAGTTGTCACTGGGAAAATTTACTTTAAAAAGGTTCTAATTTGTACCTTTGAAGTACTAATATGCACTCTTTAGGGACAAAGGTGTACCTTTTTTAAAGGGTACCGCTTCAGTGACAGCTTTTGTACCTTTTTTCTGAGAGTTTAGTTTTGTTTTCTTTAATATATTAATGCTATACTTTAAATGCAGAGAGCAAAATTAATCAGACAGATTCCACTGGAACACATTTGCCTTGAGACAGACTCTCCAGCCTTGGGGCTTGACGATCATGTAAGTCCTTATCTGTTATAATAAACAGATATTCTGTATGACTGAGCTGTTTTGAACCTCACTGCCTGTGTTTTTTATTTTATTGTACTGCTCTAGGTTAGAAATGAACCCGGGAACATAACGATCAGCTGTGAATACATTGCAAAAGTTAAGAGAATATCTCCAGGTGTAGTAATGGAAGTCACAACACAAAATGCCCTTCGGTTGTTTCCAAGGTTAAAAACTTAGAGTTAATATTATCTTATTTAATTTAGTAAATTCATTAGTTTTTCTTTTCTGTTTCTTTCAAAATGAATTCATACAGGTTTTGATATAAGCATGATGGGCAAATGACAAATTTTCATTTTTTGGGGGTGAACTTTTCCTTTAATTGTATGCCAATGACTATGTAATAATATCATTGTTTTTTATATGTAAAATAGTTTAAATAAAAAAATATTGCCAGATTGGTTGATTATACATGTTTATTGCAGTGTCTGGAGAAAAACATTTGCTCTGCAGTCTGCACTGTAGTTGATTGCAGTTCCTCACACTAGGTGAGCATTATCTGGAAGAATAAAAGTAGACCATATTTTACTTTATCATGGAAAATGTTGTTTCCATAATGCTATTTGAAGAATAGTTGATAAGTTTCCCAACAAATTTAAAATAGAGTAGAGTCTCATCTTACAGCTGTCTTCGAAATGCTTTCTCTCGGGATGTTTGTTGTTGTTGCTGCCCATCCAGGAGCACCTCTGCTCGGGACTCGCAGTCTGCATCGCGCTGAACTCACTGCTTCTCCTGAGGTGACAACGGAAGTGTTTTCTTTCTGGTAAATTCCAAGATCTGCTGGTTGCCTCCACGCAACACCAGGTCTCTCTCCGCATATTCAACTCGTACAGTTGATCTTGCTTCGATTTTGACATGGTATTAATTATATGTAGGCTACTTAAGTCGAAACAGCACATGAACATTTCAGTCGTTAATGTTTGGAAAGCTGTAACCATGGTAACCATGTATGTAATTTCTACCAATTAGTTAATAAAAAATAATATAAATTTCAGAATTCGTTGTAATTTAGGTCGTGTTTTGTTGGCTTTGTGTCGCGGATGATTCAGTTTGAATAAACATGTAAGTTTGATATCAAGAAAAACAATATTTTCTATGTATCTTCATCAATCTATAGCCTGCCTAACGTTATATTCATATCTCACTGATATAGTATAAGAAATATGTGTATAAATGAGAATGAATAAATCAAAATTGTTTGTTTTCCACGCAGACAACTTAGCACTTATAGAATTAAATAAGTCGAACTTAAGAAAGAATCATTATAAAGAAAAAAATAAAACTGTACCGTCAAATTCAGTAGGCATAACGTGTTTTTAATAATTTTTTCTTGTATCATCGCGCTTTATTTAATTTTACTCGGTTCCCCAGCTAGTTTGAATAGAGATTTCACAGTATTTTACCATTTGAAATGGCTTTACATATATTCATTTTTTTCTACAATGTGCTTATTAAATAAATAAAAACATTTTATGAATAAAGAAAAAATACAATTGTATTTGCCACAAGAACAAACAATCGACCAAAAAGGTACTGTCCGCTTTCAGCTTTTTTCCCCCTTTAAAATAATTATCTATAGTTAAAAGTAATTTATAAAATATAAGAAATTTGTTTTGCAAATTAAGAGGGAAAGAGAAGCCTGGCGCGAGTAGTAGTCAGCAGAAAGGCTCGCCTATTTGCCCCGCCCCTTCTGCGGTCTCATTGGTCCTTGCCAATCCTCTTACTCTCTGCGTTTACTGTAAGTGAGTAAAAGGGGAGCAAGCAAATCCGAAGTGGATGCGCAGATCACGCCATCATCATCATCACCATCTCTCACATGCTGCTGAAGCCGGTAGTGAAAGGAAACGTGGTCCCAATTCATCTTAAATTACAGCGTTTTATTATCAATTGGACCTTCCTAGGACATCATCCTTGTCTCTTTGTGTCACGCACTTAACGTTACCGCCACAGGAAACGTTTAGTCAGAGAATTACACATCTACTACGATTTGATATGAATTAAAATCTAAGTGACTGGGTTAATTTAGCCGAAATGGTGGCAGGTGAGTTTCTCCCAGAGCAGCATGTTCTGCCTGACAGCACACCAGACGGCATTGTCACGGAAGCAAATACAGACGACGACAGCGGCTACAAGGAGCTTTCCAATGGATCGGTCCAAATAATATTGGATCCAAAGGTGCTGGAACAGGAGCTTCCACCACCAGATGAAAAAGAGGCGATGCTTCCCTCCGAGCACAATAACGATGCGCTCGAGACGAGACTTTACTGGAGGCGCTTCGCCGTTCTCGGCGTGTTCAGCCTCTATTCGCTAGTCAACGCATTTCAGTGGATCCAGTACAGCATCATTACGAACATCTTCATGGAGTATTATGAAGTATCAAGCATTATGATCGACGGGCTCTCCGTGGTCTATATGGTCGCTTATGTGCCTTTAATCTTCCCCGCGACGTGGCTTTTAGATAAGAAGGGGCTGAGGATGACTGCGTTGTTAGGGGCCGGGTTGAATGCTCTAGGTGCGTGGGTGAAGTGCGCCAGTGTGGGGCCCAATCTATTCTGGGTCACCATGACCGCACAGATCATATGCTCTGTGGCACAGGTGTTCATCCTCGGTCTCCCCTCCAGAATCGCTTCGGTTTGGTTCGGCCCAAAAGAAGTCTCCACGGCTTGTGCCACAGCGGTTTTGGGCAACCAGGTGTGAATTGTCAATTAGAATTGTCATTAGTTAAATATTACATTACTCGACATTGATATGACAGTACGAATGTCACTTGCCTTGGTATTTAAATGGACGAATAGGTGCCTTCAGGACAGCTTTATTAAATTAGTTCACCTTATGTTGTAGCATTTACCATGGTGACTATAGTTTTCACTAAAATATCTGCTGGAAAAATCAGTTTTAGGTGCATTTTGGAATGACTAAAATTATCACAAGTAGCTCTAAAAAGGGCTTTCATGCATTGAACAAGTACAAGTTGGTCCATTTGGAAGTATATTAGTAACCAAACAGTTTCGTTTCCCATTGACTTCTATTGTATGTTGTTGTTATTATTTTGGTGGGAACTATGGTAACCATACATTTTTGTTCGGTAGTATTTAAATGCACAGTGATATAAACACTAATTTAAAGTGAGGCTATAAATATTTAACATTTGTGTATTTATTGTTGTTACACTGTGAAAAATATTGTTGGTTTAACTGGTTGCCTTAAAATTTTAAGTTAATTGAAATGAGTTAATACAATGAAGGAGATTAATTTAATCACCAGAAACTCAAAATATTTTGTTATCTGAACTACATAAATTATCTAAGTTGATTTGACAAAAGAAAAAATTTGTGTGATTACAAATATTACAAATATTTTTTTTTACAGTGTAAAGGTTGTATTGTTTTATTATTGTTTTGTGTTTATCTGCTTTTTTTCCATTCAGCTTGGTGTGGCCATAGGTTTCCTGCTCCCACCTGTACTGGTTCCCAACACTGTAGACGACAAAGATCTCATGGGCCACAACATCAGTATAATGTTCTATGGAACAGCTGGAGTTTCAACTCTGCTCTTCCTTCTAACAATATTTGGTAAGAATCCGTATACATTTCACATTCTTAGCACTTTTTTTCAAGGTAAAGGAGATAAAGATATAAACATGGAGATAAATAATAATAATAATAGTATGACTGATGCATATAGTCTAAACAAATCATGAAAAATATTCTTCTCTCATTCATTCTTCTCCATGCTATGCTTTTGTCATTATGGTTAACAATACACAATTAACTACTTAACTTGGAACAACAAATTATCTTTGCATATTGATGTGTCATCCGTCATCAGAATATGGGAAAGGGCTGTTTTATAAACATGGGCAGGAGAGTTGTATGCAACAATGATTCATATTTTAAAAAGTACTTATATGTTAATCCCTTACAACTAGTAATCCGATTATCGAATTACATGATCATGTGTGTCTCATTCTCACTTGTTTCCTCAGTCATTAAGGATAGCCCTCGACTCCCACCCAGCAAAGCCCAAGCTGTTCTGTCCACTGGTCCAGCTGAAGACTATTCATACAAACAATCAATCATAAACCTCTTTAGGAGCAAGCCCTTCATTCTGCTCCTCATCAGCTATGGTGAGAATTATTCAATACAAAAATGGAAAATTCTGTCATAATTTAAGGCCATTCACACCAAAAACGTTAACTATACAATAACCACCCCACATCATTCTTATGTTATGTTATGTGGTTATGTGGTCAAATGCTTGAGGTGGCAAGATGTATTCTGATTGGCTGTCAATGTTTTTATCATTCATCAACTGGAAAAATAGTGATTCCAGCAATATTGTTCCTCTATGCCGTTATCGTTATAGTTTAATTTTTAGAACTATATATGAAGAGTTCAGATGCAAAAGCCTCTAAATGCCATTTGAAATTTTCTTCTTTAATGATGATTTTTATCAAACTTGTATATTTAAGTTCAGTAATTTCACTTAAATAACAATTAATAGGTAATTATCATTGCCATTTAAGTGAAATCACTGAACTTAAATATACAAGCTTGATAAAAATGATCATTCTAGAAGAAAATTTCAAATGGCACTTAGAGGCTTTTGCATCTGAACTCTTCATATTTATCCTTATAGTTCTTGTCCTTGATGTGAATAAGGCTTAACTCACACATATGTTGTTTTAAACCTGTATGACTTTCTTCCATAGAATTCAAAATCTATATTTAAATTTTCTTTAAAATATGATGTAATTCATTAAATACTATACTTTCACTGTTTTATCTAATCTTAAAGGACAGAGCTCCGGCGCAAAATGAACCTTTGGTCTAATTACACATTGTTACCTAGTCAACCGATATCTGAGATTTGTTTTCATGATTGCCGAATGTAAATAGTTTTATCTCTAAAAACAGTTTAGCTTATAACGCTAGTATAACGCTAGTAAATAGGGCATATAGTAATGACAAGTAAAAATCGCTTGTTATTAACGTACCACTAACAAGGTTTAAAATAGCCCCACACATAACACGAAACAATGTTTGAATGTAGGGACCCTTGTTATGCTGTTGTGTTGGTGTGGGGCTATTTTGAGCCTTGTTAGTGGTAATAACAAGCGATTTTTATTTGTCATTACTCTATGCCCTATATACTAGCATTATACTAGCGTTATAGGCTGAACTGTTTTTAGAGATAACACTATTTACATTCGGCAATCATAAAAACAAATCTCAGATAACGGTTGACTAGGTAGCAATGTGTAATTAGACCAAAGGTTCATTTTGCGACGAAGTTGTCCTTTAATATTTTTCCACAGCTTTTGATAGAGCACCATACACCATTTATTATGAGATGATTATGAACCATTTTATCTTGTGTATGACTTATTGAATTAATACTGTAATTATACAGTATCAATCAACCTCCTCTAATGCTACCATTTCAGTTTTATTATATAGAAAATTCTGCACTTCAGCACCTTTTTTTAAGCATAATTTTCAAAATATCTGATTTGTTTTTAGGCATCATGACCGGATCATTCTACTCTGTATCTACACTTCTCAATCAAATGATCATCTTTTACTATCCGGTAAGTGACATTTGATAAACTCTGTATTTACCGCTGCAGCATGACTATGCCATATGCATGTGTTTAGGGGTCTTTCCGGGTCCGTCTCAGGCCCACCACTGTACTCTTTGCCGGGAATGGGCTGCTGGTCACCGATTTATTGTCCAGTTCATTAGCTGCTTTTCATGCATGGACAAGCTCTTCTGTGTACATTCCCAAGTTTGATCTGTTCTGCAGGCTTTCCCACAAGGCTTAAGTTTAGTTTCACTGCCATATCTGGTCATGAGATCTTTTAAAAAGAGGTGTTCCTGACAAATTAATTACAGTTGAGCCAGATGCACACTGTACGATTTATATAATTGTCCTTAACCATTTTTGCAAACATGATCCGCGCTGTAAACCATGTGACACTGCGCGACAGTCAAAAAAAAGGGAAAAAATAAAGGAAAAAAGAAGATGTACAGCATGTGGAGCAAGTGGTTTGTTGTTGTCACACTAATTGCGTCATTAGGTTCTGCGCTGATGTTGGTTTTTGATTTGCTGGTTGCCACACTGCAGGACAATGAACTCGACTGCTTAGACTGGCGGTAAAATTTGATCGTAATGGTCATTAATCACCTGTCAGCGATCAAAGACTACAGATATTGGCTTCTGCCAGACTGCACGATTTTGAAAGGCAAATCTGTGCTCATTCACACGAGTGACAATCACGCAGTGTGGATGAGCAAAGACGCGATCTGTGTGACAAGTGTTCTGACTGAAAACTACATCAGCATTTACCGACAGCCAATGGGAGAACAAGATACAGAGCAGCCGGGAGTTTGGGGAGGAGTTATAGATCACATATCAAACAAGCATGGCATTGTTTCAGAAAAGGCTTCTTCTCAGTCTATTTGGACCCAAGAAAGTCATGCAGTGTGAAAAGAACAGCGACCCGACTACTTTGAAAATCGTGCAGTCTGAACTCGGCATTGGGATCAGAGGAATCTTAGGATTCGGAAAAAGTTGTCTCAGATCGTGGCCAAAATCATACAGTGTGCACCTGGCTTTAGTCAAAAGTGTTGCAGTAGATGAGGCCCAAAATACATTCTGGGCCCAGTTGCAACAAACCTCTTGATCTAAGAATATTATTAGTCATAAACAAATTAGTGTTGTATCGATGATGAAATTTCTAACTTTGATATGATAACTTAAAAAATATAGATTTTTTTTACTATACTCAATACCATAGGTAATCTGGGAATAATACCATTTAGATATTTTTTATTATAATCTCATATAATTTTTTATTAATTAATTTAGGTGATTTTGTTGCACTAGCATGCACACTGCACAGGAGGTTTTATTTGAAACTTTGAACTAAATTTACAACAACAAAAAAAAAGACATGTAAACAGTCAGTAGTAAAATGAGAACAAATAAACAAATTGAAAACAACCATTAAAAAAAAATCCCAAATTAAATGTTTTTCAGGTGGTTGGTACTGTAATATCCGGGTAAGAAATACTACAAAAATTAAATAAAGTACCGGTAGGCTAATCAAATGTAAAATAACACTGGATAGTCTTCATTCTGTGATCTGTGTATCGGTCTTGGGTAAAATGGGATTTGGAATCGTTTCAGATATTTCTGTATCGATATGTTGAAATATCAATATTATTTGGGGGGCTGTTGTAATCAGCCATTTGAGCTTTTTATACCAAAATCCTGAGATCAAATCTCACAGGAGGACAGTATCACTATCATGTTTAAATGTGATGGAAATGTTAAAATCACCTTTAAACTTTCCATATTCTTTTTTTAGGGTGAAGAGCTTAACACAGGGAGAATCGGCTTGACTTTGGTGGTGGCTGGAATGTTTGGTTCAATACTGTGTGGAATCTGGTTGGATCGTACAAAAACCTACAAGTATGTATATCTGCTAAACCAGTGGAATCTTTTTCAAAAAACATTTTAAAGGAGTAGTTCACTTTAAAAAAAACTGTTGCTGATAATTTACGCACCCCCATGTCATCCAAGATGTCCATGTCTTTCTTTCTTAAGTCGATTTCTGATGAAAACATTTCAGAATTTTTCTCCATATAATGGACTTCAGTGGGAACCAAAAGGTTCAAGGTCCAAAAGACAGTTTCAGTGCAGCTTCAAAAGGCTTTAAACGATACCAGACGATGAATAAGGGTCTTATCTAGCGAAACGATCAGTCATCAAGTTTTATAAGCACAAATACTCTGCCTTGCTCTGTTTTGTGATGCCCGTTCGTGACTTTCGTGTTCGAACTCGTTCATCAAAATGAACAAATCTTTTTCGAGTCATTTGGTTCATTTAACGAACGAAATTATTCGAAAAAACATTCGTTCATTTTGAAGATTCATTTTATAAGCACAAAAAGTTTTATAAGCACAAATGCTCACCTTACTCTGTTCTGTGAGCAAGGTGAGCATTTGTGCTTATAAAACTTTTTTTAATTTATTTTTGAAATGAGTGATCGTTTTGCTAGTCTATTGTGCTATGTGAAGTCCATTATATGGAGAAAAATCCTGAAAGGTTTTCATCAAAAACCTTAATTTCTTTTCGACTGAAGAAAGAAAGACACGGACATCTTGGATGACATTGGGCTGAGGAAATTATCAGCAAATTTTCATTTTTTTTTTTGTGAAAAAGTGAACTACTCCTTTAAGCTCTTGCACTCATATTTGTATCAGATTTTCATTATTAGCAGCTGATAATCCATTTATTTTCTTTCTAATTTTTAATTTAAGGTGCTGCCACATTTTCACAAAAATATTGTGGTCAATTTTCTGTTGTCAGTAGTGTAGCGACGAATGAATTACAGCTCACATAGAAGTCACTTGCAAGCCACGCACCTTTCTATTGGTCAACACAGCGAATTTACCCGACCAACTTGAACCCATTGCGAAATCTGCGTGGGGTAAAACTTTTGTCCCCACACAAAAGAGATAAAAGACAAGCAGCTTGTCAAACGTTTAACATTTTTCCTTTCACCCTTTAGATTGACAACATTGATCGTCTACGTGCTGTCCTTTATTGGAATGGTGGTGTTCACATTCACGCTGAACGCTGGATATCTGATTGTTATCTTCTTTACTGCTGGGGCCCTAGGGTAAGCCTGCCATTAAAGTTTAACTTATGGTGCCTGTCACTATAACTTCTGAAATTAGTAAAAGTCCAGACAGACCACTATTCCTTTATTCCTTTAAATCAAATGAACTAATTCTGTATTTGAATTTTTCTGTAACTAATCGTGATTAAAAACATGAGTTTTTAATATTTAAGGTTTCCTATTGTTGTTTGTACATGCTCTCTGTAGCTTCTCTCATTAAAATTATTCTCTACCATTCAGGTACATTTGATTCATGTTATTGCTATTCTTTTCAAAAGGTTTTTTATGACGGGTTACCTTCCCATTGGCTTTGAATTCGGTGTTGAAATCACATACCCTGAGTCTGAGGGCACGTCATCTGGTCTTCTGAATGCTTTTGCACAGGTATGTGTGGCATGCTCATTCAACTTGTTTCATTCTTGTAATAAGATTTCAGTTTACCATTAATTCAAATTACTCACTGTTCAGCTTTTATCACGATATGGTTCGGTATGTGCTATGATCAGCGATTAAAGGACTACTATTAAATAAAAACAAATGATCAAACTACAAGCAACAGCACAAATAAATAGAGCAAAGATACAAGGATGATTTCTTTATCTTTTGCTGTTTAACATTAAAAACACATGCAGACAGCAGGAATATAAGGCTGCTGTTACTTTAAGACATAATGCATGGATCCAGTACACTGATACTGAACAAATGCATAGTCTTTTCTCGACTGTTAACATTAACTTAAGTCTTAAGATATAATCTGCTATGTTTGCTAAAGTACTCGACAATACGGGTATGTTGACATCAATTTTGTGTGAATTTGTCCGTTCAAACGCAAGACTATCAAGGCTTTTCGTGTGTGTGCTTCGGATAAGCACAAATCTTCTCACAGAGTGTGCACGAGTTTTCTTTCACATATTTTTGCTCATGAATGTTTAAATTGGCAAGGCTTGAATGAGTTTAGTTTAAAAACAGATGTGTGCTGTTCAGGTCTCACCTGTGCTCGCGCGCTATCAACAGCCGGTAGATGACGGTGTAAATGACGTTCAGTGAATGCCAGACTGTGTGTCCATCGACAGTCATACGTTAGCCTAACTCTGTTTGTCTGTTTTATTTATTTTCAACAAGCCATATTATAAATGTGTATGCATAATCGGATTTTAGTTAAATAAGTGGGTGCTGAACCCTTGGTGGAGAATTTCTGGGTTCTATTTTGTTTACAGAGAACCATTACACCCCTAATGTTTCATTTACACACTGCTAACCACTTTCATTATGAACAACCTGGTGGAATACACACCCAGATTTAATTTGATAAGCTTTGTCCTTCCGCATTTACTCGACAGAAGGCTGAAAAACAGGTCTAGATTATTCTTAAATAAGTCATTGGTATTTAAGTGTTTCTTGTCTAATACTCAATCTTTAATTTTAGGTGTTCGGCATCATATTTACTCTCATACAAGGGCAGCTGACCACAGACTACGGCCCGCTCATCGGAAATATTTTCTTGTGTGCTTGGATCCTCCTTGGCATTGTTCTAACAGGTTACTTTTCTTATTTACAGACCTTTCCTATTATTGATCAGTATTGTATGTAGACAGCAGCATTAAGAAACTTTTGTGTCGTTCCTACAGCTCTGATTAAATCAGACCTCAAAAGGAACAACGTCAATGTGGGCAATACAAACAAAGGACAAGCAGTAAGTTTCATTTTTATGCTATTCATCACATTTGCAAAATAAATATGGTGAACACAGAGAGATCCATTTAAATCTTAATAATGTGAAGCGTAAAATATCTCAGTGCATTTATAATCAGTTTAGTTTTCGGTTTAAAAAGATGTTTTCCTGAGAAAACAGACCAAACTATGCTATGTCAAGGTTGAGGTTAAAGGATTAGTTCACTTTTGAAAAAACTTTTGCTGATAATTTACTCACCCCCATGTCATCCAAGATGTCCTCAGTCGAAAAGAAATTTAGGTTTTTTAATGAAAACATTCCAGGATTTTTCTCCATATAATGGACTTCAATGGGAACCGGATGGTTCAAGGTCCAAAAGACAGTTAATAACTGTTTCAGATGCAGCTTCAAATGTCTTTAAACGACACCAGACGATGAATAAGGGTCTTATCATGCGAAATGATCGGTTATTTCAAAACTTATTCCAAAAATGTAACTTTTCTAAGGACAAATGCTAGCCTTGCTATATTCTGTGAGGCGCGTTTGCAACGTCACGTATTACGTAATTACGTTCAAAAGGTCACGGGCGACGTAACCGAAAGTACAGAGGCATTGTTTACAAGTTGAACGCATAGGTTGAACGTGCAAACTAACTCAAACGCCGTTTACAAAAAAAGGAATTAAAAGGAAAAACAACGATGTCGGACGATTTTGATTCTGTACTTCCGGCTACGTCGCCCGTGACCTTTTGAACGTAATTACGTATTACGTGACGTTACAAACGCGCCTCAGAGAATATAGCAAGGCTAGCATTTGTCCTTAGAAAAGTTACATTTTTGGAATAAGTTTTGAAATAACCGATCGTTTCGCATGATAAGACCCTTATTCATCGTCTGGTGTCGTTTAAAGACATTTGAAGCTGCATCTGAAACAGTTATTAACTGTCTTTTGGACCTTGAACCATCCGGTTCCCATTGAAGTCCATTATATGGAGAAAAATCCTGGAATGTTTTCATCAAAAACCTAAATTTCTTTTCGACTGAGGAAAGAAAGACATGGACATCTTGGATGACATGGGGGTGAGTAAATTATCAGCAAAAGTTTTTTCAAATGTGAACTAATCCTTTAAGGTATGAGTCAAGGACTCAAGAACGCAGAATTTTTTGGTCTTTTATGTAATAAAAAAACAACAAAAACTACCCCGAGGGGGAAAACAGGACCAGCAGCAGAACTTGACTTGACCAACAACAAGGCACAGAAACACACGAGAGGGAACATTCTGGCAATGGAAAATCTGGAACAGGAAGATCTGACACAAGACTGTAAACACAATGAGAATAAATAGGGAGAAAACAAGGCAGATAATGAAGGAGAAAAGATGGGGCAAATGAAACCATAAACAGATAACAAGAAGGGTGGGGTTACACAATATACATGAAAGCACATGGCACAAAGAACCAGACAAGCAAGCCGTGCGAAAACACAACGAGAAAGCACATGGCTGATGTAAACATGAACCTCGTGCTACACAGAAAGCAACACCACACACAGACAGAAGTGCAAACGGCCCGAGTGAACTTAAAAACTGCACGCTTACACAAAATAGAGAACAGAATACAAACACGCGGAACATGAATGTCCGAACCCCCAAGAGGGAACAGAAACTAAACTATACCGAAGTGAACAGAAGACAATGACAAGACAATAGAGTGCCGAAGTTACGACGTCACTCTGTAGGCCAAAACGCGGAAGCGAGTTAGCATTTTAGCACTCCCGGTTCCATCGCTCTAAAGTCTATGGGATTTTTGAATGGGTTTTTGCTAAATCGCCTGAAATAAAGTCTGTGGTGAACAAAGCCTCTAAATATTTTCATGTTTTGATCTATGACATAGAACACACAGTTATAACCTGCTTGTGTTTTTTTTTTTTTTTTACTTTATTGTGTCTGCTTGTGTTTTTTACAACTTTATACTTTGGATTAACTTGTAAAGATTATCTTGATAGACAAAACATGTAAGGGTCACAACTCTTTGTTAAACACAGATCTTATTTTTTGCGATTTTCCAAAAGTCTATGGGGAAAATGCATAGCTTTTCGATCGAGGGAACCCATGCGCCGCTAGCTTCCGAGTTGTCCTACAAAGTGACGTCATCACTTCGGCACTCTATAGCAGTGTCAGAGTTCTGTCACCAAAACCAAGAATTAACAGACCGAAGTGACAGAACCCTGACAGGAACAGAGAGTTCAAGGATTATGCCTGATGTGTTTGAAAGTAAATTGTAATGTCAAGAAGTGTTATTTTACCTTTTATGTTTTTATTTATTTGTATTTGTATAGTTTTGGAAAAAATAGTATGATGTAAAACAAGGCACAGCTTTTTTTTGTTCTTTGTTTTTCAATGTACACAACACAACCATTCAAAAGTTTGGGCTCGATAAGATTTTTTGGTGGCAGTTTATTTTGAAGTACATGCACTTGCCTGTACTTAACTAATAAAGTGCTAAGGTAACTACATAGGTTACGTTTAGGTGTAGTTTAGATGTAGGGTCAGTACCACCCAGTTATTGTAATTACTAAGTACATAGTATGTACATGGTGCATTAATTTATAATGTTACAAAAGATTTCTGTTTCAAGTAAATTCTGTTCTTTTAAACTTTTTATTTATCAAGTAATCATGTAAAAAAATGAATCCGGTTTACCACAAAAATGTTAAGGAGCACAATATTTGATAATAAGAAATGTTTCTTGAGCAGCAAATCAGCATATTAGAATGATTTGTGAAGGATCATGTGACATTGAGAACTGAAGTAATGATGCTGAAAATTCAGGAATTCATTTAATTTTGAAATATATTACTAACTACAAATAATTATTTTATTTAGTTTTACTGTATTTTAGATCAGATAAATGCAGCCTTAGTGACTTCTTTCAAAAACATTTTAAAAATCTTACAGATCTCAAACCTTTGTTTGGTAGTGTATTTGGCCTTCGATATCCTGGTTTTCAACTTCAAGATAACCATTTCATCAATTAATTGTCATCTTAAGGGACATGTCATAATGTCTTAATGAGATCTTAATTTGAACATGTGTTTGTCTCCCCTGAAGGTTCCCACTGAGCTGCCTTCTGATAAAGCGTCCAGTGACGTCAAGCTGGAGTCCTCTAGCTTACCTCACGAGACTTCAATTTAAGTCTTAAACATTTCCAACAGCACATCAAAAATCACAAGAGATTACAGACTCTCCTGAGATGACTTGAAATCTCCTTATTTCGCTGTGATGTAATGATGTTATAGCACAATTTTCAGAGAAAACGGACTGCTAAATGTTCACAAATGCTGTAAATTAACTTCTCTGAATCTAGGCTGATTGATTATACAATCTGTCTCTTGATTATACATGCATTGCAAGCATTATTTTATTTATTTATTGTTTCAAGAACTGTGGACCAAATATTAGGATTTTAACATGGCTTGTAAGGCCTAAATGCACAATCATGTTGGTGTGACTGAAACAGCATGTTGGTTTGCTTCGTCTGACTGTGTTTTGCTTGGACGTTTCTGAAGTCTGCTGTTGCATTGCAGAACATCTACATGTAATAATTACACAAAAAAACATGAATTTCCATCTTATTTATTCAGGATAATGAATAGTGTTCTTTGAACTAAAAAGACATTGTATGTAAATTGTAGTGTATACTGAATGTAATTGCTTTAGCAAAATCGCCCATCATTATGAGACTGAAATCATTTTCAGTGCTTATGCTCCCATTGCAACATAAAATCAAATATGTGTAAGTGCAACATTTTTGACTTGTGTAACACATACAGATACTAGGAGAATACTTGTTTAGTCTTTTCCAGAAAGCACAAAGTAACCTTTCAGCATTCGTACCACGTTAAGGATGGTTTGTTTAAAAAAGGAATGTGTTATAGTGACACGAGTGAGGTTTTATGAATATGTCATTCCTCGGAAGTGTGGAAGGAGCATTATTATTTGAATGGTTTGTAACTCTAAGTTTACTTGCTTTTAACTAATTTTCTTTTTTTACTTTTGATGCATATTTATTAGAAAGATGGCTTCTCTCTGATTTTTTTCGTATTTATAGATTTCTGGCTTGAATTTCTACTGTTTCTACTTGGTATTCTTGTTGGATAATGAAGGCAGCTGCGCAAACTGGGGGTTCACATTATTGTACACAAATGATGCTGGGAAATTCACTGTAAAGTAAAAAACTCATTTGCATTACACTCTGAGCTTTAAAGGACTGGAAGGGGTTCATGTTTCCATCACTGCTGTTTTAAAATAAAAATGAAATTCCTCAAAATAAAATATGCAGTTTGTTTGTTATTGCAAATATGTTACATACCAATACGGCGGTTTTCAGTCTTTGATGCAACAGACCCACAAAAAATTGATCATTCTCTAGCAAGGGACCCCCTCCTGAATTTTAAAAGGCATCTATATAAATTATTTTACAAAGACCCAATTTATATTTGGGATTTTTTTTTTAAATAAATGTCTACAATATTATTCCGAACATATTTAGTTTCTATTTCCTACTCATTATAGTAATGTACTGTTAGATTAATCATTTATTTATTTTAATCTATTGATTATTTTAATCTTGTGTTGTGTTTTTAATCTCTTTATCTAAGCTGTTTTTCTCTAGAAATGTTTAATTTAGTCCTCTAGCGCCCTCTAGTGATCATACAGGACTTTTTTCGTTCATCAATGCGTTTTAACCATAGACTGTGTTTTTTAACCTTAAATGAATAGTTCACTTTAAAATGACAATTCTGGCACAATTTACTCACTCTCAAAGTGTTTCAAACCTGCATGAATGTATGTTTTTCTGCTGAACTCAAAATAATGTATTTTGTCGTTAACCAAACAGTTGATGGGCCACGTTGAAAAAATACTACAAGTGAATGAACTATCCCTTTATGTGCTTTCCTTGATTAACAGCATGGAGACACAAAATCATTTGGCAAAGTTTAGAACCAGTATGCAGACGTTTGAACTTAACACTGAAAGGAGAGCAGATGCTATTTTGTTTTTCTTTTTAAATGACATGGTAGGGATATCTTCTGCACAATTTATAATTTTACCAAAAGAAGACAATTTTGAAAATTATATAATTATATATCATGAAAATTAACTAATCTTTTCCCGAGTAAATTCGTTCGTTGAATGAACCAAATGACTCGAAGTTTTGAACGAGTTATTTTGTTATTTTAATAAAATAAATTATACAATTAAAAGATAATTTTATTTCAGCTAGTTGCCAAGGAAACATTTCTTATTTTCATTTAACTTGATATTGCCAACTAAAATAACTAAAAAAATCCGAAATTAAAATTAGGACTAATAAAAACCATTTTTTTTTTAAAACACTTTACTTACACTTAACCAAAACTAAGATGAGAATGGAAAATATGAAAATCTAAATTAAAAAAATAAAACTAATTTAAAATATTAATAAAAACAACAACAGTGCTTTATACTTTAATGCATTGAGGGCAGTTTGTTAACATAAATAATGAAAAGTGCAATAATTATTTCATTTGATGCAAAAAATAGCGAAAGTTAAAGGCTTAGTACACATACATTTTAAATGTTTGAAAAGTTATAATTGGCTAAAATGGTTTGACCTTTTTTACATTCTATGGGTTTGACATGCACTATCACTTTAAATGCAGCTTTTAAAAGCTCACAAAAAAAAAACTGCTGGAAACACAACGAAGGTTCACGCCTATTTCCGCTATTGTAGCCAATCCCAGGCTGATCTATTTCCCTTATATGGAATTGAACCCGCCTCGCTTTGTTGCTTCATCCAATAAAAAGCCGCCAGAACTTGATTGGCTGTTGTTTATGGTGATACAATAACAGTATCAAAAAACGCTAGAGTGAGTGACCATTTGTTGAGACCGTGAGTGAAAGCGGTTACACGCCTACATAGAAAAACAAATCATTCATTAATACTTTACAATCAGATGGATGATTTATTCTACCGTGGATTATTCAGACAGCGACCCCTTCCGCAGGACTCAGTGTTTTTGAGCGAAAGGATGAAGTAGTTTCTGTGGCACTCTGAGCTGACCGCCAACTACTACAGCATGCGGCTTACTGGGAATATATGACTATTTATGATTTTAATCTATCCTACATTGACATTCACCCATAGTTTGATACAGAAATGGTATCATTGACCATTTGTTCTGTATCTGAGTATATTTTAAACCACCTGCATTGTCATACTTGATGAGTACTGTGTGGTTTTGCCACATTAATATGCAAGCTCGAGACGCAACATGTCTTTGTGCATGAATGCTGGATAATCATAACTGATCTGGGGAACAACAAGGGGAAACTCCCCCTCGGAAGACTTCTGAACAATGACTGGACCAAACGCCACCGGCGGCGGCTCAACTGCCAAGATTAGCAGACACGGTCGGTCCAAAAGCACCAGTACCTACTGTCACACTACGGGTCCCGCTGCGGAATCCTCCTCGTCCACTGCCGCAAACAACACCGGTCGGTCATCCGGTGAGGAAGACGAGAAAGACGGCGGGGTCCCGTTTTTCGTCAACAGGACGGGCTTTCCCATAGATAATGTCACCTGGGAGAGAATGTGGTCGCACGTCACTAAAGTTCATCCTGATGGACATGAGATGGTGGATAGAATACGAAATGCAACACACCTCCCAAAAGTAAGTTGAAAGTAGTGGACTAGTGTCTGTGTCTCAAAACCTGGCAAGCTGCCCATCTAAGCATTTTTGGTATAGCATATAGATTTCCCTAAATGCTGTCTTAAGAACACCCTAAAATGTTGTCTTGTTTGGAAGGTCATCTCTGTGATCTTGGTATGCACCTGACCTAATAAATATGATCCCCAAAATGCTGATGTGATATGAGGCAACTAATTTAATGCAATGCCCAAACATGATTTCTTGGTTGGCATTTTGGCAAGTTACTAGATTTTGAGGAACAGCAAGTAACATTATGTGTGTGTGTACAGATGTCAGTTAAAATAAATGTTCTGGACAATGTTCACACCTTGGTATTACCATGTTTTTGGACATATCTGAAGTATGCTTACATAGTACATGAGAATAGAACCTTGATATATAGACTATAAAGTTTTCTTAGAAATTCATTACCTCAGTGCTTTTTTTAAAACGTGATTTTAAGTTTAGGGTCAGTGAGTTTTTATTTTATTTTATTTTTAAATAAATAAAATGTATCAAGTAAGCATTCAATAGGCCTAGATCATAAGTGAAAGTGATTGATAATGGCATTTACAATGTTACAAAAGATTGCTGTTTCAAATAGCCTAAATGGCAAATGCTGTTCTTTTGAATTTTCTATTCATCAAAAAGTCCTGAAAAACTTCCACAAAAATATAATGCCGCACAATCTCAACATTGATGTTAATAATAAACATTTCTTGATCAAATTAATGCAGCCTTGGTGAGCATATTATTGGGAGTATTCTTTCAGAAAACATTTTTACTGTACTTTTTGGTAAGTATATGCATACAGTAATCTTTTGGTAAAACTGTTGAACTTCCAAACATGAAGCCGTTTACAGGAATAGTGTTTTAGCCTCTTACAAACCGCCATGCATGTGAGTCAGTTTTCAAGCAGAGGAAGTGTAGGCTATGAGACATGTGAGCGGATTTACTCATCCATGTGTTTTCCAACACTGCGCCACATTGTCCCAGGTCATAATCTGATCCAATGACAACTATGAAGAAACATTCCTCCGTTAATGCACATGATATGAGGAATGATGCCATGTGACGTCGTATGAATTTCATTAGGATTAAAGATGCTGTCATGTCCCTTTATCACAATGTTGCTCTAACCTCCAAACATAAACCAATCAGGGCTGATCAGGCTTCATAGGGCATGCAAATGAAGGACCTCAGAGGGGATAAAGCAAGTCTTAATCACAGACTAATCCTCAGTGCTCAGACGGACAGTATTCACAGGCTCAAGATGCGTGTTTAGGTTCTCTTTTGTTTTAGTTAACACTATTGTGCATTCCTACACTCTCATATGTGCTGATGCGTGCAGAACATAGGCGCCTGATTGGTCAAAAGCATTGAGTCGGATCCCCAGATGTTAAAGTGATTTATTAAGGGACATTCCCCACCAGCAAGTGTTGAACAGGTGCGTGGAGTGAAATCCGTCAGATCGGCCAGATCAGGAGTCACTTGAACGACTGCAACACGAGCCAGACATTCCTGTTAGGTCCATTAAATGGAGTGACAGTCCATGGGAATGTCCTATAGCTTAGTTTGAACCCATAAATGACTGTATTGATAAAGATTCAGAGTCTCCCAGTGATAACCTTGGATCCGAGGACACTGCAGTTATTATGAAAACAAAGCACATACTGGTACAGCAGTGTCAATGTTGATGCAGTTAAACAATGTTTGAAAGCTAAGTAGAGTATTCAGAGAGCCTATTATTTTTCATAGCACCTCTTGCATGTTGCGGCTTTGTTTTTTGATATAATACTGGGTCTGGATAGCTGGAGTGCTATTAGGTATTGGATTTGGAATGCTATTATAGAGTAATTGTGTAATTCCTGTTATTTTGTATTACAGCTTGCACAAAATATTAAAGGGATAGTTCACTTTGAAATTAAATTTTGATATGTTTTAGCTAACCTCAAGGGCATCCAAGATGTAGGTGTCTTTGTTTACACAGTATTTTCAAATTTGATATTTTTAGGTCAAACCGTTCTTGTCTGTCAGTCATATAATGGAGGTCTATGGTCACCACCTCAAAGAGCATGCACAGAGAAGTCCAAATTAAACATGATTTAATGACTCGTAAATGTAAGTACACATTGATGGCCTAAGACACGAAACAAACGTTTTTTGTGAGAAAACAAACAGTATTTTTGTTTTTTCGTTTTTACCTCTTGTGACCACAGCCAAACAAAACAATCTTTGAGTCATCATAGAAACAGCACAGATGTTTTTGAAGGAAAATTGTTTTATCAAATTAATTGAATCTGTACTCAAATCTGTGCTATGACTTTGTTTCTGTAACAACTGAAGAGTCCACATCTGTTCTCTTAGACGGACAAATGTTCTGGGTGGCTTGATTAGTGAGTTTCAAGTTTCTGTCAAGTCCCACGGGTGGGCAGAGGTCAGCTAACGGCCCTGCGAGTGTGGATTGTGCCCTATTTATTGCCGCTGACCTCGTTTCGGGGTAGAAGAGACCCAGTTGAGCCTGTGGAATAGAGTGTAGACGTAAATGAAACCTCTCTCTGAGAATTCAAATGGTCAGAATCAATATTCAGAGTGTCATTTAGATACACTTTTTGGAAATCGATACTGAATTTAAAGACTGAATGCAAATTAAACTGATGCCGGCACTGTGATAAGAGATTTTTGACTGGTCTGGAGAACACTGGAAAATAATGTTAATTGTACACTATGCTTTTTACTCCACTTTTTATTTTGTGTTTTGTCTGACAATGCAGAATGGTTCTTTAGACAAGGTCACTATGCTTTTAAGTCTCGTATACTCGCGAAGGCTGTTATTTGATCAAAACTTTAAGTATTCATTTCTTGTTTAAAATACCATAATATTACTAACCCCAATTTTGAATGGTAGTGTGAATAATAAAAATGCAACCAATGATGGTCTTGCATAGTTAGGAAAGCAAAATGAATGTCAAACCTTTTGTTTGTTGTAACATTTGTTGTTGGCGTAAGGTGTGTGTGTCCAATTAAACTTGGTATTTGCTTGCATACTCAGCTGTCATTTGGCAGAGGGTACGATTTATTAATTAAACATAACTAAAGGAAGTTTAGCAATTGATTTTAAAGATAATTTTGTAGGGTTTGTGTAAAAATGTTTGTACTATGTTGAGTTGAGCCCTTTGAGTCTTCAAGCAGAATCATTTTATTGAGGGTGTAAGTTCTTAAGAGGTTTGTCACACCTCGCCTTTCTGAACACCTCTATATTTAAGTGCTGAGAAAGAAGGTGTGTGTTTGCAGGAAGCACGACTGTTTTTCAAGAGACCTTCTACTCAGAACAACAGCATTGTTATTCTGCTATCATAATCCATAATCATAATCCATTGGTGCAGATTTTAGACACAGTACCAGATCCGGTGCTAGCTGAGTACCAAAGAGGGGACGTCTAAAGTAACAAGAGGGGGCGATAAAACAAAGTATCCCCAACTAGGAAAACATTTGTGGCCTATTCACACATTTGTCAGACCGTGAACAAACCTGTCACTACTACAGCTAGCTATTAAACAAAAATTTACTAAGCAGAGATAGCCGAGCATTGAATAATATTACTACCTAAAACATAAAGGGAAATTGCCTAGGGCAACATATTTGAAAATTTTACTCCTAGATATCCATGAAATAAATGCCTTTTAAACTACCATGCACTCTCAGAAAAATGGTACAAAAGCTGTCACTAGGACAAGGTTTTAGTAACATTTCTTTTGGTGCCATTTATGTAGGCCTACTTTTGACTCAAGGTACTTGGGTACCACCCCAGTGACAGCTTTTGTACATTTATTTCTGAGAGCGGGTCAATGTGCATTCTTTCCTTTTAAAATAAATTGATACATTCATGGCATATATCACTTTAATCTAATTAACCTATTTATTTTTAATACATTTTTCATACTTTTAAATTATTCATATTATGTAATGTTTTGTTATCTTAAACCTGAAAAATGTCAGATTGTGCAACTGTCCAAACAAATGAACAGACTAATAAAAATGGTGTCTTAATAATAAAAAAATAAATAAAAAGTAAATACCATGACATCATTTTAAGTTTGAAACCTTTAAACAAATTGTGTAAATATCAGTAGTTTTAAAGCTGTTGAGATAAAAAAAAACTTTTGTCCAGCAATTTCTGTATCAGGGTGGCACAACTGCAAACATGGGTCTTGCATTGTGAATTGACAAGGGAATAACAGTAATTATAATGCATAATTTGAGAGCCCAACTGATCCTTGTGGCAGAGTACAAACTAAGGTTTGTTGATCTCTCTCAAATACTGGTAAAAACTGCCAATTTCAAGTAGGCCTATGTGTAGTTTGGTACACTTTCCATGTCAGGTGGTACAACTACAGTACATAGAACTATCTGGTTGTACCACCTGATATAAACAGTCAAAAATGAATTTAAACACTATGAATACAGACAAGTTACCATGATACCACCATAACCAAAAGTAATTAATTGTGTCTGCATTACTACACTCTCAGAAAAAAAAGGTACAAAAGCTGTCACTGGTGCTGTACCTTTTCAAAAGATAAACTTTTGTACCCAAAGGCTGCATATTGGTACCTTAGTGGTACATATTAGCACCTAAAATGTACATATTAGCACCTAAAATGTACATATTAGCTCCTGGAATGGACATATTAGCACCTAAAATATACATATTAGCACCTAAAATGTACATATTACTACCTAAATGTGCATATTAGCACCTAAAATGTACATATTAGGACCTAAAATGGACATATTAGCTCCTGAAATTGACATATTAGCATCTAAAATGTACATATCAGCACCTAAAATGTACATATTAACACTTAAAATGTACATATTAGCACCTCAAATGGACAAAAGTTTACCTTTTGAAAAGGTACAGCCCCAGTGACAGCTTTTGTACCTTTTTTTCTGAGAGTGACACACACTTATTGCAACGTGTGTAACAGATGCATAATTTTAGAACAACCTGAACTGGAATCGGTGACAGGCAATAACAATACAATGAAATAGTCTACTAAGTACGATTTATTGGCTAGCCTTCTAACATGAAAAAAAAAAATTCATCATCATACCTTTAGCTAACTCAGAGCTGCGTTTTGAAGTTTGTATAATGTGTCAAAAGGTACAGTGCCAATCAAAATGTGACGTTGCGAATCAGACTCTCCTTAAAGGTAGGGTAGGCAATTTCAGACTAGCTAGCAATAGCAAGCTAGCTTTGAAAGCATAAGATCCTACCCTCCCTTGAGAGCGTCTCCAAAGCCATGCCTCTTCCAAAAGACATGAACGCAAAGCACATAGCAGCATTTGCAAAGCATCTCAAGACGAGAGGTGGCATTATGTTAGCTAATGTCTCAAAGCACATAACATAACTATAATAATGAACGTAAACAAGAAGATATAGGCTATGTATGTTTCAATATTTAGACCAGCATTAGTTCGAAAGCTTCAAAAGTCGGCACAAACGGACAATACTGTACATTTCTACAGTCTCTCATTCTCTCACGCGGGGGAGAGAGAGATAAAGAGGAAACAGGAGATGATTCCTTTTCTCATTTCCTCTTGTGACCTCAGCTGTATTTCAACACATGCTTAATTCTATATCAATGTGTTGCAGTAAAGAGCCTGTTTCAGATAGAGGACAGCCTTTTTTCTAGCTTTCATTAATTGCTTAGTTTCCTTATGAATGGAGGCTAGTGTGCGAGAGGACGATCTTTGTTCTTTGCTAATTCTCTTCGCTGCCCCTTTGCAGTTAGGAGTGTCATTGAAAGTGTGCTATTGATCAATGAGACACTGTTTCTGATAAGGACTTTTCATGCCATTGAGAGACATCAGAATCTGAGTAGAAAGGGCAATCCGGTAGTCACCTTGTGACTAGTTTACTTTAGCTAGATAAAAGTAAGTTACACCCTCCATTTCTTTATTCAACACTTCTTCCCTTACTGCCAAGTGTAGTGTCTGTGTAACAGAAACAACCAGTTAGGTTGATTTGTTTTCCATTCAAGAAATATTTCTTCTTATTATCAATGTTGAAAACAGTTGTGGTGCTTAATGTTCTTGTGGAAACCATGATATATTTTTTTCAGTCAGCATTTATTTGCATTCAAACTTTTGTAACCTTAAAAATGTCTGCCGCTAAAAATACTGTTGCTTTTGATCAATTTAATGCATCCGCGTTGAATTAAAGTATTAATTTCTTTTTAAAAAAAGAGCTTGTCACAGTGCATTCTGGGATTGCTTTGTCTATGACTGATGCAATTTGCTAATCCTTTCTGTTTTCATAGCACCCTGTGCCATTGGTTCCCAACTTTAAGCCATCAATGTCAGTGCCTGATTGGCTCCATGCCGTCCAGAACTACATGAGAAACCTGCAGTATCCTTTTCCCTGCACAAACCATTTATTCTGGGAAACTCTGCTTCTTCTGGTCTGGATGCATTATGAATTCATTGGTACTCATTCCTTTGGAGTGCCAGTTATGCTTTTTCGCACCGTGTAATTTATTCAGTTGGCTTGAGTCACTCAAAGTGCCTTTTTGGTATGTCAGTCTCTTTAATGTAGAGTGATATTAGCCACTATTAGGCTTGCATACTTCTGGCACACTGATACTTAGACATATGGTATGGTATGTTCATCATTGTTTGCGATTAATATCTCTGTGTCTGATTTTCTGCCTACAAATAGATTGAGATCTTTGAGGTAATGAGGATGTTGGGTTCAACAGGTCGCAGCTGTGCATTTTGAGATGTATGAGTCACAATGACAAAAAACAGGAAAGTAAAAGTTCACAGCTCCTTAACGGATGACAGATACAACCACACAGGAACTCAGTTTTTTGAGATTAAGAAAACCAGACCTCTGAGTGGGTAAGTGATGCCATCGCTCAGGAATTTTTATCATCATGTCTCTTTACCTTGTATTTCCTGTTTTTAGTCTTTTCCTATTACTTCTTATTTTACTCTCTTAATATTCATTTAGAAAGTGCTGGCATGATCTTTTACAAAATACAGAGTTTTTATCCAGACATGAATGCAATTTTTAGATTTATTTTAAATAAGAAATCATTGACCCTGTATTACATATATTCTTTTCAGGTTGATGGAGACTGCCAGAGAGATGATACGAGAATCACTTCCCATCAAATGCCTTGAAGCAGTTATTCTTGGAATGTATCCTTTATATTTATTGACAGCAGTGTGGTTATTTTAGCAAAAAAAAAAAACATAAAAATGGCTTTCATTAATTGAAAAAAAAAATGAAATATAAAATATAAATATTATATATATATAAAAAATAAAAACTTAAATGAAAATTAGAAATACAGTTACTGAAACCAATAAATTAAAGCTAAACAGAAAAATGAAAATATGAATAATAGTAATAAATAATAAAATATGAATAATAATAGAAATATTAACAAATACTTTGTGTATAATTATATGAATATACGTATATACAGTATGTATAGAAAATAGATCAGTTTAACTAATACAATTACTAAAAAAATTAAATAAAAATAATTTAAAGCTAAATAGAAATATAAAATATATTAATATTATGAATAATAAAATAATATTAATAATGATCAAATATAGAATATTAATAACTTTTAGTTTATAGTTTTAATACTAAAATAACAGTGATTGCCAAAAGGCATTCTCTAATTGACCTTATTTCTGGTAAAAAATTACAAGGTCAAGAAAAAAATGAAAAATGAAACATGCATAGATTAATCATTCACAATAAGATCAATAACATGCCTTTAGAGAATGGATAGGGATGATTTTCATTTCATGCCGACTTTAACACTCATAATACACTTGCATTGTGGCTACTGGCTTGTAGTCGGACTTTCCTCCGAAAAGGTTTTAGTCTTTTAGTCCCTAAACTAGGGATGCACCAAAATGGATGCACTTGGCCCAAAACCAAAACGGCTTTTTTAATGAAATTCAATAATTTTAATGATACAGAAATTTTCAAATACAAGATAAATCAAATGGAGCGTAATATTGAGCAGAGCATCACACCACGCAGTGATAATGGCGAAAGCTGAAGAGCTGGCCGACGTATATTTTCAGTGGTCGAAATTTCAATGCAGCCCTACCCTAAACTATAATTTAGTACTCATAAAATAATGATTGCCATTGAGCACTTTTAACAACACTGTTAATGGGCTATATGCACGCATAAGTTCCGCATTTGACGTAAGGATGCTCGTCCATTTCCGGTTGTGTAGATTAAAGCGGAGGAAAACCGGAGAAAACGGGATTATGGCAGAGTCTTCAATATTTACTGTCCTCCCGTCTTTGAAACGAAACGTACATACGTTTAGATGTAATTTTATATATAGTTATGTTTATTTAATATAATTTTAAAAAGAAGCATAAACACAACGAGGGGTGTCTGTTTTATCTGTTTTTGTGACTAACGTTTCATTAGTATAACCATGGAGTATAAAATTCAATATAAATTCTCGGTATTGCATTGGACTCTATGATCGGCGGAAGTTATCGAGCATCCCTAATGCTTCACCGGAAATAACGCAGTGCATAGAGCCCATTAGTCTGGGGAAAGCCCCATTTCTCCCTTACTTTTATTGTTGTTTTGATATCTCAATTGCTCAAATTGTCATGGAAGACTAAGCAGCGCTTTGTCAAAGGCAATGCGCTTCACATCACTGTCTTTCTTCATGATCCCCCCTCTCAACTCAGCCCGAAGCTTTAACTTTCAGCTGTTGCTAGGAAACTAGGAGTCGTGGTAGATTCTCCTTGAAGGCAGGCACAGCTTCCTGTCCATGTAGTGGATGCAGCTGTGCCATTCAGTGTCATTGGGAGGGTGTGTTCTTTCAGGAACTGTTAATGCCGGTTATCTCAACAGACCCAGGCCAGAGGTTAACACAAGGTGCATGTCGTCATTGTTCGCGCAAATGCCAGAAATGTTGCAGAGAAACATTCTGTTTCACAGGAGCCTCAGTGTAGACTTCACTTTGAGTTAAGCACTTCATGGCTCATTAGTTGCAAATAGCTGCTTTCTCTCCGTGCCGATTTGTAGAGTTGAGCGGGAAGATGAAGGGTTCCAGTTTACGTCACTTTGAGATTTGTATCTTTGTGTACAAAAAAACCCCCATCTACAGCGTTCTTGATGCAGTTCTAATAAAGTCGCAAAGGACTCGAACATCACAACGGACAAAGAGTGTTATAGTTTTTGAGAACACTGAGGCTATTGTAAAGTTAAAGTTGCTGTAAGCAAATTCTTTTTTAAAAATACCACACATAAAATCTCACTGAAATGGGGTCTTGAAAAATAACATTTGTTTTTGTGACAGCCCTAAGCACTACAAAAAACAGTGACGATAAAAAAAGAACTGCGTTTCTGATTTGTTTCTATATTTCTGTCGACTGCATGACCATATCAGTTTGTTTTCTAACGTGACTCACTAGCTTTAAAAAGGCAACTTCGCTGCTTAAAGAATGCATAAAAGCAACCAGCTGGATATAAACTAATGGAAATCGATGCTAACAATCGTAACATTAAACATTTGGGACGGGCTTGTGTGCGTTTTTGTCACGTAGTTTAGCTAGAAATGTCGGCGTCTTCTCAGCCTCGACAGCAAACACACTGCTGTTCTTCATTAGTGCGACATCTAGTCAACAAATGAATTGCTTTATAATGATATGAAAACATTGACTAGAGCCGTTTCATTGTCTTGTTTTGTAAAGTCGTCAAAAGTCTGTCTGGATATTCAAATGAAGACAAAACGAGTACATTCTTCTTGCTGTGTTCTTGGGACCTATAGCAGAAGTAATCCCCGCAGGTTTCAGAATGCGTGCCTTGCAGATAAGAATGTTGAAATTCACGGCACTGCTGCTGAGAGGATCACATGGCCCTGCTGATGGGTAATGTGATCCTCTAGTGTCTTCTCATTGTAACACTGGTGTGGGGTTTTGTGAGTGTGTGTGTAAAGACACACGCACACTCGCACTCACAGAGAACGAACTCAAAAAGAGCTGCAGTGGAACGAAACATATGGAATGGGCCTGTATTTTCTTTAAGGGCCTTTTTAGACCTGTAGATCGTTTGCTTTGTTCTGAAACAGGGAGATTTTGTTAAAACGTTTTCTTCTTGGTTTGGATCACTTTAACAAGGCATTTCAAAGCGTACCAGAATGTGTTTATGCAAGCCACACGTGAGCAAAACTGTCCTCTTATTGGTCCGAGTTCACCTGTTTACATACCTCTGCATCATCCATCAAGATGGATTGACAAGTTCAATCCACAGGCGTATTGTAGCTTTATCTGTAGCTGTCATGTATGTGTATATATATATATATATATATACATACGTATGTATATGTATGTATATGTATGTATATATATATATACATACATGTGTATATATAGATATAGATATATATATATAGATATAGATATATTAGTACAAGGATCAAGGATTCGTCTGAACAGAATTCTTGCAATGCAGCGAGAAAAACATTTACTAAACAAAAAAGAGGCGCTCTTTGGTTTTCAACCACAAAAATCAGACAGAATCAGACAGTGCTGCTTTTTAGATAACACATTTTCATTATGAATTATGACACCTCTTAGTTTGTTGGTCCATTGAGTCAGATTGCTTTATCACCTCAACCGAACCGCCCTATAGTTCATTTTCAATCGACCAAAATATATCAAAGAAATAAAGAGCTACAGTTAACAATCCTTCTTTTGAAGAGATCAAAATCTAATTTATCTGCTTTCTCAGTGTCTCTGGACTTTTTCTATATGATTCATCAGTGCACAGTATTCGTTAGACATTTTTTTTTTGCTGTACACTCAGAAAAAAGGTACAAAAGCTATCACTGGGGCTTTACCTTTTCAAAAGGTAAACTTTTGTCCATTTTAGGTGCTAATATGTACATTTCAGGTGCTAATATGTACATTTTAAGTGTTATATGTAAATTTTAGGTGTTAATATGTACATTTTATGTGCTAATATGTACATTTTAGGTGCTAATATGTACAGTTTAGGTACTAATATGTACATTTTAAGTGTTAATATGTACATTTCAGGAGCTAATATGTACATTTCAGGTGCTAATATGTACATTTTAGATACTAATATGTAAATTTTAGGTGTTAATATGTACATTTTATGTGCTAACATGTACAGTTTAGGTGCTAATATGTACCACTAAGGTACCAATATGCAGGCTTCGGGTACAAAAGTGTTCCTTTTGAAAAGGTACAGCCCCAGTGACAGCTTTTGTACCTTTTTTTCTGAGAGTGCACATATTAATAATCAAACTGGAACCATATCAAAATATCTAAAAAACAAAACTTGAAACAAGATACATTTGAACAAAAGTTAATTAAAAGTATATTAAAATGTAACATTTTGAATATATCTTGTTTTATTTTTATTTCATGTTTTAAAGGATTTTTAGATATCTTAATGGAAATCAGGTAAAAACAAAACAAAGAGTGTAATTGTGAAAACTAGCTTTTTTTGTAGTTTTATTCTGAGATAGCTGATTTTGTTTTGTGGAGCACTGGAGCCTTTGATTAATAAATGAATATGCTCGTGTTATATAGACTACACGCATATTGTGCTGGTTATTGTCTTTGAAAGGCAGATGGCAAAAATGGAAGCAGTTCCAGGACGTTGCGTTGTGTTGCTAGACACACATGGTTCAACAGATCTGCGGCATGTGCTTTAGGCTGCTTGTGCCGTACCAAACAGCAAAACGACACTGCACAATGTTTACTGACAAGTGTGACGATAATGATTCATTTAAAGAGTGGTCGTAAAGCATAATTTCCTCATTTTAGCACCGTCGAGGCCACATGAATTCAAAATTAGCATCAGAAAGGAGAACAGGAATCATGACAATCTCTTTCCAGTTTGTTGGTACTCTAGTTCTTAAATTACCTCAAGGATACCCTAAAACAAACACCACTCAGTTTACTGATGTGATTGATGTCAGTAAGGTCAAAAAGTAGTCTCTTTTTTTGTCCCCAGTTGCAGAAGAATCCTGGTGTGAACCCTGCAAATAAACTCACAGCATGGTGACTCCTGCCATGCCGCAGTGAGCACTGATCGCTTACATAAGACTACAGAAGAGATCAGGCAGAGAGAAGGAAAAGCCTGAGGGGAAGGCTAGTCTAGCCGAGTGTCTGCTGACCAGCTTCAATCGCATCCCTGCAACTTCATGGAATCAGAAGGTTTTTGTTTGACTTGAAATGATTGGCTTTCGTTTGTGAAATGTTAAACAACTGACAGTAAAATCCAGTGATGCAAACTACTCGACCTTTTTTTGCAGAACTGCTTTATAGATAAAATGAACTAGTTTAACAATTGATCTTTACAAAGGAACTGAAATCAACACTTGAAATGACTTCAGCTGAACAATGACACTATTTTCTTTTAAGCGCTGCTGGACAGCCAAAATTAACTGTTTGGATCATTTAATAATTTTTCTGTTATCACTGTAAAGCTGCTTTGAAAAAAATCTGTATTGTATGTGGTTGCTAGTGTGTTCCTATGTAGCATCTAATGGCTTTCAGAGGGTATTATGTAGTTGCTAGGAGGTTCTTGATGGTTTCTAGGGTGTTCTTGTTGGCGTTTTTACATGCAGAAGTCTTTCCCAACATGCTACAGCGTTATGAGTGGTTGCCAGGGTGTTGCTATGCAACTTCTAATGCCTTCAAAGTGTTATGTGGTTGTAAGTGATGTCTGAGGGGTTGCTAGGCTTGCAAAAGTGGTCATCACCACAAAGTTAGAGTGGTTGCTATGGCATTGTTATGCAGTTTCTAGGGTGTTCAGTGTGGTAGCGAGTTGTTACATATTTACTAGAGTGTTCTGATTGGCTAGATATGGTTTAACTACTTGTAAATCTATAGGTTTATTTCTCATATTTCACCTGAAAAAAGTAACAACACTTCTCAACAAAACGCATAATTGTCTGTAGCACAAATGGTTATACTCAGAATTTACAAAATTGACTTTGGAAGCACCACTTTACCTTATTTTAAAAGAATAAACGCTATTAAGCTTTCAGTCAGGGTATCGGTTCTGAGAATATACACACATTTTAGCTGTTGCATATCTTAAGTGAGTTTTAAATGAAAAGAATTGTTAATACATTGCCTGATTCACAACACTGTAGCTTTTTATTGACCTACAGTAATTGATTGATTTTCAGGAAGTGTGACCGTAGCCAAACTTACTGCACAAAGCACAAAGACGAATCAGATTTGAAAAATCAATAGTTCACATTAAGTTGAAAGTATTTGCTATTTTTCATAAAAGGCTTCGGGATCCTCCTGAATTTTAACAGTAAAAAATTAATTCCTCATTCTCAAGCAGCTGCTTTTTCTGGGCTGTTAAATTATTCGGAATGTATCCAACCTGTCTTGAGTAAACCAATCACAAATGAACGTTAACGAAACTGTACTGTTAATAAAATCCTTGACGCTATTCCCGTTAGCTACCTAACCAACGGTCTGACCTCTGTGGAGCGGTTCCCCATCAGCTTTAAGACCCAGTTCTCCGGACACCACTTCCATCACGTGGTGCTGGGCGTTTACTGCAACGGCCGCTACGGCACCCTGGGTATGAGTCGGCGTGCTGACCTTATGGACAGATCTTTGAGCTTTCGTACGCTCAGCGAGTTGGTGTTCGACTTTGAGGACTCATACCGCCGCTACCAGCACACCATGAAGAAGATCAAGATCGGCCTGTACGTGCCCCATAATCCGCACGTTTTCCAGCCTATTGAGTGGAACTATCTGGTGATCAACGCCTGCAAGCAGGGGCATGAAGACATGCGCAAAGAGCTGGAGAAACACGGCCGTGACATGAGGATGAAGGTGAGACAATAAAATGTTATTGTTATTATATTTTTTGTTAATATTTTAAATTTGTGTCTTTTCTGTGTTTAATTTTAATTTCAATTTAGTAATTTTGTTGTTTTTTTCTCTTTTTTACATATATATAGTTAAATATGTATGTATAGTTTTAATAAAAAAAATTGTCAGTTTATTTAGTTTTAGTTAGTTTAGTACTTCAGCTTAAACTAAAAGAAAATGAGAAATGTTGCGTTGCAACTAGCTAAAATAAAATGCGTTTAGTTATATTTTATATAAATGTTAATGTTTATTTTATTTTAAAAATGTTTTTGTATGGGTTTTTTTTAGCTTAACAGTAGTTTTAGTTACTAAAATTACTTATTTAATAGTTAATAACATGGCTAAGATTTACCCATCTACCCTTGTTTCTTTTTTTATCAATATATCGTAACTATAATTATATTATTCATACTTTATATAAGCATATTATTGAGATATTTTATGAATATGCTATTGATATTCATATTTATGCTGCCTTAAATTTTGCCATAATGACATATCTTAGGTTTTGGAACCAAGACCTACACTGCATCCAAAATTAAATTCTTCCCTACTATATAGTATACAAAAAACAGTACGCAAAAATAGTAGTATGTCCAAATACATAGTATTCGAAAAACATTGGGCGAAAAGTCCCTGGATGACCTACTACTTGCACCAAGATTCAGAAGTGTGCACTTGATGGACACTTTACTATCCCATCAGGCCATTGGAGGGGACGCAACTGACGCTGGTAGGTCAAGTAACAGTAACAACATGGCGGATGTAGTACGTCCGAATTTCATTCATACTAAGTACCCATATTCATACTATATATAGAGCATCCTTTTTAACAGTTGCGAATTCAAATGTAGTAGCCTACCGAATCAGACAGTACGTGATTTCGGTCGCAACGCTAATGTCCATCTCAAAAACCAAGCTAATTCAGTTGGTCAACTAAATAAGGTCAGACTTCCTGTGGAAGGTGGAGCCACATAAAAAAAATCACGCTTGCCTGTATTGGTAGTTTTACCCTGGTTGAGTTGTGACTGGATCAGCAGAGTTCATATTTGTCCTCGGATGTCTCTTGAGGAGTTGCAGACTAGCTTGAGATCATCTGTATGAGTGTACTATGGGACATGTTTATCATGTAGACAGTAAAAAGTAGGTCATGTGCTCCCAGTTTCTCAGATGCGGCCTTGACTTGACCGCAGTCAGCTGTGACATAGTTTCCATGAATGGCGTGAGCGGAGGGTGGAAATTGCGCTCTGGATGTGTGAAAGGAATAGATGTTTTTATGGATGTAAAAAAAATGTGTGACCTTATTTAAAACCTAAATGTTTTTGCAATTAGTCTTTAATGTTTAAGCTACATGAACACCTTAGAGCATGTATATTCCTATACTTCTCTTTCTCTCTCTCTCTCTCTCTCTCTCTCTCATATATATATATATATATATATATAAATTTTTTTTTTAGTCGAGGACAGAAATATATGCTTGTTTGCAGAAATTGCTTGTGCATAGACAACATGAAATCAAAATTGACTTGGCAATCTATCTTGAAAGAGTTTCTTGATGTACTGAAAACCCAGCATCTGGCATCATCAGCATGGAGCCGATAGAGTCACTCATTTTTATGAATCTTACTCTAAAAATCAACTATAACAATTGAGAACATTGCAATGTAAAGTTACCTCTCATCGCTTGTGCTGCTCATGTGGGGAAAGCACAACATATCGAGCGACTGAGAGATTGGGACATCTGTTGTCTACTAGCATATTGAAGTTAATGAACGTCATCAAGTTAATGAACGTATAAGTGGAGTCTTTCATAACGCTAGGTTTATTTGTGCTGCACTGACTAATGAGAAAACACAATGAGATCGATTCAGTGTTTGCTCCCTGCGGTGTGAAAAAGTTCAAGCCATACCCGTTTAATATACTGATTGTAGATTTGTCGTTTTCTTGCACCGGATCCCTGTCGGGTTGATGATAGATAGACAGTATTCCTCATCTGTTAGTTTCTCAGCTTGCCTTTTACCACCTTGAAGATTTTGAGCCCTTTTTTCTTTCTAATTGCCTTGAAATTCTAATATTATGAAGATATAAATGATCTGTAGGCCTATAACCTCATGCTGCTATTTATAATTTGACTTTTCAATTTCACTTGCATAATATATTAGCTTATTCACATATATAAAAACAAATGAACATAAAATATATGAAATCTATGAACGTTTTAAAACAACTGGGTTTTATTACAGATCCTCAAGTCGTCCAGCGCTCAGTCTCCAATCAAAGAACGAAGCCGAGGCAAGTCTTTATCACCGCGCCGCCGATCAGCCAGCAGTCCCCAAAGACGCCAACATGTCCACAGAAGAGACAAATCGTAAGTAATGGACACTTTGATGTTGTGAAGATACATCCACTTGTGTGAAAGGCGCTTGGTAGAAGTCTCTGTCAAGAAAATGAGTATAAACAGAGACAATTTATATAGAGACATACCACTTAATAAATCCTCAATACAACTATAGACCATTTTGCAAGATGTAAACAAAACTCATCCAGAAGCACTTCCTGTTTCAGTTTTTTAACACTACATAAAAGCTGGGATAAAATACAACCAACAGAACATATCAGAACATCAAAAAGTTAAACAAACATCTTTAAGATTTTTTCTTTACATGTGAAATAAAGAAAACAGTTACAAACTGAAACCGGAAGTGTTTCTGGACCAGTGTTGTTTACATCTTGTGAAATGGTCTATATAGGGAAAACCCGTAACTCGTAATGCACATGTCCCACCCCTTCCGCTGGAAAGCCAATCGTCTGCTTTTAACATTGAAGCTGGGAAACATGTCGTCTGGTTCCAGGTCAAGACTCAAGATCTTTATTCATGTGTGGAAATGATTCGTCATGCTCCCTCCCAGTGTATATTTTACAACAAAATTCCATCTATTCTTTGAAAATAAGTAATTTTGACACTTTTCCACTTCAAATCGCATTCAGTGTGAACACTCCTTGACATTTGTAGACACTTCATGAGCTTTTGTAGCAGTCACTAAAGTTACTGAAGACGACACATTGTCTGCTCATGTTTCATGTTCATGCCTTTAACCGAGTCCATTCTCATTAGAGTTGTGATGGCGACACTGCGAAACAGCTGGTGGTAATTCGTTGGCTAATCTCCTCTAGCATCACACGCTTGGCAGGGTCTCATGTTACCAAAGCACGACCCTGTTCCTCTCGTCCAGGCAGTTGACTTTATTGTTTCAATAGCAGCACGGCACAAGCACAAGTACTCTTTTATCAGGCTGAGTGGACCCTTTTAGCACTGCTGATCACCTTACAAGGGAGACCTCGGGCTGCTTTTGTTTATGGTGTTGAGGAAAGAAGATTCCTTTCCTTCTTAGTTGAGCCCCTGGGCAATATTGGCAGTGCTCTGTATCTACTAGGAGCAGAGTCATAAAAAGTGACAGTGATGGATAGCAAAGCTTCCTTTCTAAAAAGAAGTGGCTGTTTTAGCAAGACATAGACACAAAGGGATCCCTAAGCTGTGGAAAAAAAGATGTAGAGCAGGGAGTTAGGACTAGTTATTTAAGCAAAGTGGCGTTTTAAAGGCCCTGTCAGTGCAACTGCCTTCAGGCATTTCACTGGGTTGGCACTCACTCTAATAGGATGTGAGTCCAATGCAACAGCTGTGGTGGATGCGGGCCTCAATGACATGTCACACTCAAATGAACCCATGGATAATCCTTGCATATGAGCATACAGTGATACTCAGCAGGTCCTGTTGTGTTTTAGCGTTTCAGAGCTCAGCGTCTGATGATGTAACCTCTGGTGCAATGGATTATGTTAAAGCAGCACTCTGTAGTTTTTTCAGCCTTTATAATATTTTTCCAAAACCCTTGTGATGGTACAATCCACTTATAATATGTTGAATGACAGATCTGCTATAGTCTGACAGTGTCTGTATCGCTTTTACTGGCACTCTGCAGACTGATCTCATGAAGTAGCGTGTGTATGACACGCCAATTCCTATTTCCATTTTTGGCGTGCTATCAAGACGCATAATCGCCTTTCAGCGTGTTTATGAACGCCGTTGACTTAACGTTATATAAATATATGACTTACCTCAACCCCGTCCCTAAACATAACCGTCACTGGGGTTAATGGCATTTATGACTGGAGATTTGACTGCGTGTACAGACACGCGGAATGACGCGGACGTTAATGGCGTAGACATATGCGGATACACGCGGATAGCTCAAAATGCGTAGAGATAACACGCCACCTGACTCGAAAGTGGCGTATATGTTTACGCAAAAGTCATGATGTCATGTTGCACTCTGTAACTTCGGGGAGCGGGTAGGAACCTGAGCACAAAAAGATCTACAATATTCGACTGCTTTACGGCATACGTCACTTCCCCTGCTTTCACAAATTCCGACGCGAGAGCCCAACAAGCGTTTTTTTTTTTTTGAGCGACGAGTCTAGTGTAGCTTCGCACCTCGCTGCATCCGATGTAGACTGCATTGCTTTCTTTTGAGGGCGCTTAACACACTCAAGCATGCCCGTAGAGCCGGGGCGGGCAGCTTGCGCCAGCTCGAGACGTGAAAGTATACTGATTACTGAGTTTGGTTGAGGCTACATTCTTGCAATGAAATAATACATGATTAGACAAACAAAATATTAGCTCAGGCTAATATGCAAATCGATTTTTCAAACATTTCAGATTCATCTATGGTAGCTTGATATTATAATATTGACGACATGGTTATTATCTACCAACAAACATTGAATTGAATTAGCATATCCATTATGTAAAACAGTAGCCAATAGGCTAACGGTACTATAAAGACGCTGGCTTGTAAATGTGAGCTATGCACGCGTGTTTATGCATATCCATGATAGATTTTATGACAGGAGTAGAAGACAATACTGTTTCCCAACTGTAGGGGGACCCTGAGAGCAAAATTTCAAAAATAACATAATGGGGCTTTAAAGCCAGTGTGCTTTAGTTTGTGTGTGTTGGGGAGGAACTAATGGCGCGTTCACATTTACCATTTACCACGATTTCAACGCATTCTCATTCTTTAACGTCATATAGAAAGCTATATGCAAAAACGGCGCTATACTACGCACATGGCACCTGTTATCGTTAATATAACACGCGCTGAGAGGGCTAAGTTTTAGTGTGGGGTCTGCGTGTCATATTCACACTAAAGGATTTTTTGACGTCTTGGGTTCGCGTGTTATATTAACGATAAAGGGTGCCATGTGCGTAGTATAGCGCCGTTTTTGCATATATAGCGTTCTATATGACGTTAAAGGATGAGAACGGGCTGACGATTTCGGTAATTTCAATAGCAATCTGTTTTTCTTACATATTTAACACAAAATGTCTGTGTGTTCGCTTTCGGGGTTGAGCTTTCCACGCAACTGGGGTATAGGTTGCCAGGTTGAGATGACAAATGGGTTGAAATTGTATATGGTGTGTGGATTGTGTGAATATAATGCATTTAATACAAGATCTGTCATTATTATTCTTATTATTCATAAAGGAGTTTGGGTCATGAAAATTACGGGACTTTCCCGGGAGAAATAACAAACTGGGAGGGGTCAGGAAGATAGGGCTAAAAAATGTGAGAAACCCGGGAAAAACGGGAGTGTTGACTGGTATGATTTAAAACGATCATGAAGTAATGGAAAGTTCGGTTGATTCAAGTGAATCGGTTCACTTAGATGGTTCATGTGAATGAACAGATTCAGAAAAAAAATATTTTCTGATTCAAGTCTCTATATTTTCAGTCATGGAGATTTAGGTGTTTCTGTTGTATTTGGTATAAATATACCTTTTTAGGATTGACACCATAAATGAAATTAATTGAATCAAAACGTTTTTTACTTTAGTAAAATAAGTGAAAGTCTTAAAATGATGAAAGATAATTATGGTCACAGATGCTCATCTAGCAAAGGCTATGTTTGTGTTAAGCAATTTAAAAATACCACAGCAACGTCTGTGTTCTAACTTGAGCCCATGAGTTTTGTTTAATCGCATGCATTTAATCGCTGCTGTTGACATGTCTAAAAAAGAACTCTTGATTGTTGTGTATTACAATGCTGTAATTACTTGGCTAATCTAATGCACCTCTCAGATGACATGCCATGAAATTATAACAAAGGTTAGACTGCAGATCTGTGGTCCTCCAGCTTCCCGATCGCAGCTATTTTTGCTGTGCTCAATAGCACCTTCCTGTCACATGCTCTGAGATGTTAATTACTGAGCCCCACACATACACTAGTGTGCCAGGCAGCTGAAACACACCACCTATTTAACGTCAGCATCACCCTCAATTACACAGAAGAACTGCACAGCACAATCATCTCTTGGTAGATGAGTTTGTTTATTCACTTACAGTGGAAAGAATTATGAAGTTATGAAATGATTCTGCTCTACAATGAACACCCTCAGTTCTGCAGTTGATGATTATGCAGTTTTGCCGCTGTGATAAAACCTGCAGCATGTGACAGTTCCTGAAGCTCTCAAAAGGAAACATCTTATACAATTACAACACCTCTTATACAAATACACCTCTTAAAGGGATAGCTCAAACAAAAAATAATATTCTGTCATTATTTACTCAACCTCATGTTGTTCAAACCTGTATTCTGGGTATTTTGTTCCATAGGACAGGGGTGTTTCAGTCTTTTAGATGCCACGGACTTTTAAATCCTAACCCCATCCTAAAATTTAAAAGGCAAATATATTTTCTTGTACAAAGACCCAACTTATATTGTAAAAAAAAAATTGTGATCTTAAATATTATTTGGAAAATAAGTAAAAAAACAAAAAAAACAAACAAAAAAAACAAATCTAGTCAGATTTATTATTTACTTATTAACTGTTTTTCTCTAAACTTTTCTCTTTAACTCATTTAGATAAGTAACAAGTAACTATTAGGGACTATATATATATATATATATATATATATATATATATATATATACATATATATATATATATATATATATACATACTGTGTATATATATATATATATATACTGTATATATATATATACTGTATATATATATGTGTATATATATATATATATATATATATATATATATATATATATATATATATATATATATATATATGTGTATATATATATATATATATGTATATATACACACAAGTCTGTATGAAGTCTACTGAAACCATGTGCTAAGTTTGTTGTGTGTTGCGGAGCAAACCAACATTTCCTAAAAATTGTGTAAAACTGTTGTTGTACTGTATGGCAAGATATTTTTTTGTGTACTTTTGTGTTCTATGGAGGAAATATCAATGTATGGCTTTGCAACAACATGAAGGTAAATAATGAGAGGTATTATTTGAATATTTCTTAAATGTTGCAGTAAAATGGAAGTAGCGACATCATTTCTTCCATTTTCCATCGAGACCGATTATTAACAAAAAAATGTATGCAGGGCGAAGTCTTGGTTCTCTTCAACAGTATGGACGCAGATCTGAAAGCTTGTAGTCTATCAGAAAGGGGCGGAATAAGCCTCCAGAAAAAAGTCTGTCGTTTTCACTGGAAAATCCGTTTCGGACATTGATTAAAAATAAAAAAAAGAAACATGCATTGATGTAACTTGCATTTACAAAAAAGATGCAGTGAATATGCTATATTATCAGTATAATATACTATTCCTAATCAATAAAGATATGAAATGCCCAGAAAGTAAGATTCTCTCTAGACTTTCCACATCAAATCTGTTGAGTGAACGGGAAATTCCACGGGGAAAATTAAATTTAGCACTGGTACAACCGATCTGCTCCTGCCCTTTTCCCGAGTCCCCCTCCCTGTCAAAGTGCATTATCTCCACTCAGGGCTATTTCTAACGCACAGGATGTTCACTCGTCCACAGGCTCACCCCCGCCTCCTCTGTCTCGGAACAGACAGTGTCTCCTCCTTTCAGTCGCCCTCAGATGTCCACATAAAATGCGGACAAAAACTTTCAATGTCGACTTAGTTCAAGAGTTGCAGAGTTTGGACTGTTCAGAAACTCTTTTTTCACAGATGTGGTTGATACTGCTCTAAAGCAACTAATCCGTTACCCAAAAGGTTTGCCATATTAGTCATTATGCAACAATAATCTCCCAAATGAAACTAACATTAACATATTTATTTGCAGGCCAGCAGCACTGGACCGAAAGCCAGCAGAGCTCAGCACTCTCAGTGACGGCTACCAGATCCGCATCTGAGACACTACAGCTTTATCCTCCACACGTCCTCCCTCCACCCAACATGTTCTTAAACACCACTTAATGCACACTGTCAACTGTACAGTATATTAAACATATTTATAGTTGTACTTCCGTGTTAGAGGTAACCTGGGTGCCCCTGTCAAATTTAAAAGAGATTCATTTTTTCCAGCCGTAGCATATTTTTATTAGTGGAAATTTTAAGTAGGAACCAAAATCAGCTTTGCTTAAGAATATTTTACCCAAATAATCGTCATGTATTTTAGAAGACAAAGAAATATTCAAGCGTATGTGTATTTTCGAACAGAATCTTCACTAGCAGTGAGAGCCGGAGTGTGAATGGATTGTGTTTGGCAGAGAGATTTAAACCTCGGTGCCTCGTGCTGTAGTGGTGGTAGTTTTGGAGACTGACCGTCCCTTTTGTAGAAGAAGACGCTTATTTTGCTAGAGGCGAAAGGACGCAGGGGACCAGAGCGTCAGAGAGCTACCCATTCTGCTCACAAGTATGAACTGTATTCAATCCAGTTTACTTCTTTTTTTTGTTGTTGTTTACCTGCACAGAGTCACAAACACTCCTGTTATATGGATGGAATGGACATGATTTATTGACTGAAGGTTTGAGGCTAACTTACATTGGGCTTTGTACTGTTTTTTTTTTTTCCTCATAAAAATATCACGGTTGTAATTGTAGAGAAATAGTTTTAATTTTTTTGTATCATTTAAAATTCTTGTTTTTACCGGTTGTTTAACCAGTAGTGTTTTGTGTTATGATATTTCAACAAAATCTCTGAGGTGTGAAGGTTGCGAAGGCTGCACATAATCCTTGAGTTTCCACACATTTGTTAGGAAAAAAAAAATAATATAATATATATATATATATATATATATATTTTTTTTTTTTTTTTTTGCAGCGGCAAAGTTATAAGCCTTTTTATCAGCTTCGCTAATGAATGCAAGTTAAGCGGATAAGTGGGTTTTTACGGAGCCCCTAAAGGACCATGGTGATGGGAAAAAAATATTTTAAATATAATAAAATAACAAAACAAAAAAAACGAAGACAAAAAAGAAACTTTGCTATGAGCGAACGCAAAACTGGTGATGGAAATAAAATGAACTGAGAAGAAACAACTACATTTCAATGCTTTTGTTAGCGAGCACAAAGTTTCTTGGGGGAACACAATACTTTTGCCACAAATGCAAAAGTTTTGCGAGAGGAAAGTTTCTCGGGTGAAAAACTTTTGTCTCAAAACACAAAGTTTCTTGAGGGAATGCAAAAACATTGAATACGATTTTTCCTCCCATCTATTTTTTTTTTTCCATCACCTTGTCCCTTTAGGGGCTCATTCAAGTAAGTTCTAACTGTATTAGAAAATCACCTTTTACTAATCAAGTAAACACAAAATCCCATCTCTTTATCAACAGCATATGACTTCAAACTTTCCCACCTCGTGAGAATAAGCTATGCACGTGGAAAAGGTCTGCGGATCCGTCCTTCTTGACAGCAGACCTGTTTTTGAAATTGTAGCAATGACATTGTTGCTCATTTTTCGGGTTGTATGTGAGCCGTTCCTCTCTGATCGTTGTTTATTGGGTGCTGTTGACCAAACTACCACATTATAGCTCATTCTGCCTTGTAATTGGTACCAGCTTTCTATCTAAAGCTATTGAACCACACAAGTGCCAGACCACTGAATATGTCAAACTCATCCTTAAAGGGACCGTTCACCCAAATATGAAAATGTTGTCATTTACTCGGCCTCAAGTTGTTCCAAACCTGTATGAGTTTCTTTCTTCTGTTGAACTCAAAAGATATTTTGAAGAATGTTGGTAACCAGACTGTTGATGGCACCCATTGACTTCCATAGTAGGAAAAAAATTACTATAGAAGTCAATAGAAGACTTCAACTGTCTGGTTACCAACATCCTTTTTACAAAATATATGTTCAACTGGAGAAAGAAATGGATGAGTGATGACAATGTTGAAGATGAACGGTCACAAGTTTCAATGACATATCAGATGTATCATGTTGAAGACCCTTTATGTGGAACGTGGAGAACGTTACATTGTTACAGATTTCTATAATTTATAACTTGTTTGGTAAGTTATCAGATGCGTGTGAAATTGTGCGTGAAAACCTTTTTATGGCAGACAAAAAAACCCAGTATTAGTTTGAAAATGGGTTTCTGGTTTTAAGGAAATGCAATGATCTCCCCTTAAAGGTGCTAAGACATGTTACCCATATTTTAAGATTCAATTGTTCTAGCATTGACATTTTTTTATGAGTAAAGAGCACATTAAAGTGACTTTTCTGTAGCACAATTATTATGAACTGAATTAATCTCAATTAAGATACATGTTTGATGGTAAGCATTGCCAAAAAAAAAAAAGAAAAAGAAAGGTGAAATTAATATTCATGAGATTACAAATGCTTTTGTGGAATTTTTGTTTCCATGTCTTAAATGCAGTCTTGTCTGAAAATACAATCAATTTTGATGACTGATAAACATTTTTTTTCTTCTCAAAGAATGTTCTTGATGTGACTTTCTCTATTTTGAAGACCTCACCTCAAACTTGTCCTCATGTTTCTGTAATATAGCTTAAATGTACCGCTTAAATAAGGACTTTATACAATTCAATTGACGTAATTGTTTTACACACATTTTTCTCAAGTCTTTTTCTGTCATAAATTTATGTTTCTGGGTCACCTCCATTTCCCCACGAGGAAACATGTCATTTTATTAATCCTCTGTAGCATGTTTTAATAAAACTATGTTTTTCTGTAAGTCGGATTCATGGTTCTCTGTGCTTATTTATGCATCTTATTTAGACCTTATTCAGAGCAGCGCCATGAGTCATGACAGGTATGAAAGCGAGACTGTGAGGAGTAGACTCAAAAATCCGTTTTTAAAAATCAGCATAATGAACAATGCCAGAGGCTTACATCTCTCCCTGCGCTCCCATCTAAATATTCAATGTGTTGGCCTGGCCGTTCTTTCTCTCTGTAGGCCAAAGGAGCTGCTCTTGCAAAAGAGAAGATTTGAGATTAAACCAGGTGATGTAACTTCAGTTGTCCTAAATCTCACAGCCACACAGTTAAAGAAGCCAGCCTGAGTGGAGTGTTTCTGCACAGAGGGAATATGCCTCCTTACAAAGACAGCAGCGGCACACACAGGAATAGAGTCGGGCGGATTTACCAAAAATCTGTCATTTCTCATCTCTTCTCTCAGGATAAAAGGACTCCTAGAACACCCACCACTGTCTCAATCCCAAAGAACACTCGGCTGAATCTCAACGGCTTATCATCTGGATTTTAATAACGCAGAAAGTTTTCCCTTCGATTTCATAATATATTTTTGAGCTGTAATGCACATTTGATTTGCACAGTCATGCAGTAATTATTTTTGGAAATAAAGGCAACGTTTCTGCGTATTTAACTGATAGGAGAGCCAACAGTATATCAATATATACTGTATCAATATATATATATATATATATATGAAGAGTTCAGATGCAAAAGCCTCTAAGTGCCATTTGAAATTTTCTTCTTTAATGATGATTTTTATCAAACTTGTATATTTAAGTTCAGTGATTTCACTTAAATGGCAATGATAATTACCTATTAATTGTTATTTAAGTGAAATTACTGAACTTAAATATACAAGTTTGATAAAAATCATCATTAAAGAAGAACATTTCAAATGGCATTTAGAGGCTTTTGCATCTGAACTCTTCATATATATAGGCTATACACTATATTTGGAAGGAAGGAATGATCTTAAAGGGTTAGTTTACCCAAAAATGAAAATTAAGTCATTAATTACTCACCCCCATGCTGTTCCAACCCCGTAAGACCTTCGTTCATCTTTGGAACACAAATAAAGATATTTTTAATTGAATCTGAGAGCTAGATCAGTCCTAGATAGCTGCCTAAGGGACTGGCTCTTGACGGCCCATAAAGTCATTAAAGAAAAGGTTTAAATATTCCATGTGCCTACAGCGGCTCAATTATAAGTTTATCAAGTGACGAGACTACTTTTTGTGCGAAAAAAAACATAAATAACGACTTTATTCCACTATTCCATCATTTCCTTATGGGCGCATGCGCGAGAACTGAGACGAGGACGTTCTCATTCGTCTACTTCTTGTTACCGGCTGCTCACCGCTTAGGAGTTTTACCGCCACCTACCGTATAAGATGATGTGCTGATATAGCTGGAAGCGCAAAACTTTCTGTTTACAAGCAGAGGAAGATGCACGCTGTACACTTAAAAGCCTTTAATCTTCTCAAAAAACGACAGTGTTCCTTATAATCCGGAGCGCCTTATATATGGATCATCATTTTATACGGTAGGTGGCGGTAAAACTCCTAAGCGGTGAGCAGCCGGTAACAAAAAGTAGACGAATGAGAACGTCCTCGTCTCAGTTCTCGCGCATGCGCCCATAAGGAAGTAATGGAATAGTGGAATAAAGTCGTTATTTATGTTTTTTTCGAACAAAAAGTAGTCTCGTCGCTTGATAAACTTATAATTGAGCCGCTGTAGGCACATGGAATATTTAAACCTTTTCTTTAATGACTTTATGGGCCGTCAAGAGCCAGTCCCTTAGGCAGCTATCTAGGACTGATCTAGCTCTCAGATTCAATTAAAAATATCTTTATTTGTGTTCCAAAGATGAACGAAGGTCTTACGGGGTTGGAACAGCATGGGGGTGAGTAATTAATGACTTAATTTTCATTTTTGGGTGAACTAACCCTTTAATGTAATTGAGTTGATTTTAAAATCAAACAATTTCAACTGATTCATCATGAGGCAATTGATGCTCACTAATTTTTGGAAGTTTTGGAATAATGTATCAGAAACTGCATCTAGTTTCTCATTTTGTCAGTCTTAATAGATATAAAACATGTGGCATCCTATATCTGTAAATAAATATTACACACTACACAGTAAGCTTAGTATACTTGTAATGCATTAAAAAAATCCAAGAACTGGGATCAAGTATAGTTTGTTCATGGTTTTTAATCTGAGAATCAGAGAAAAGGGCCAGTCTAAATGCTAGAGTTTTGCGAATCTAATTTGCAGGGTTATTATGGTTAGCTAAACTAAATAAAATAAACATTAACTGAAATAATAAAAAATACACAAACTTTATTTTATTTCAGTAAGTTGCCAAAGCATAGTTTTAATTTAGTTTAACTTGGTATGTAATAAAATAACTAATGTAAATAACAATGCAAATAAAAATGTAGAAGAACTATATTGACAATAGCACAATAAAATAACTTTTAGAATTTATCTAAAATTAAAAAGAAAACAGAATATTTGCTCTATTTTCTCTTCCTCTAGCTCAAATATAGCACAGTGGTAGCAAAAATCTGATAAAATGTGCAACTTGAATGCGTTAATAGTCGCTTTGGAAAAAAGCTTCAGCCAAATACATACAAAGTAATGTAAATGTAATATTTGGAAATTTTCTAAATGTAATTATTTTAATAAGTTATATATATATATATATATATATATATATATATATACACACACACATAATATAAAAAATAACAGCAATACAACACTACATAAATAAGTTCAACAGCTTTAAGATAAAATTCTTTTTTATTATAATCTTTAATATGATGCAGGTCTGAAACAGATAGCTTGTAAAACCTTGAAAATAAAAAAATATTAACATCTTCATGAAATGGCTTGCTTAGTATCAAAGCTGCCAAAATTCACAATAAAACATCCCCAATGTATTGGGTATAGTATGAATGCCCCCATAATCAACTGAAAAATCAGGTATCAGGTATGAAAATTCTGTCATCATTTACTCTCACTAAAGTTTTCTAAAAAACTTTAAAAAAAAGAAACTAAAATTTCTTTCCTCTGTTGAACACAAAGGAAGATATTTAAAAAATGTCGGTAACAGTTGATGGACCCCATTGACTTCGATAGTATGAGGGGGAAAAAAAACCATGGAAGTTAAAAAGTTAATCAACTGTTTGGTACTTTTTTGTGTTCACCAGAAAACAGACATTCATACTGGTTTGAAACAACTTGAGGGTGAGTAAATGATGACCGAATTTTCATTTTTAAGTGAACTATTCCTTTAAGAGAATCTGTGAATCATTCCTTTGCTGGTGTGAAAAAAAAAGGTTTACATTGTACTGTGAGTTTGTTAAACAATTTATCTTCTGGCCACAAAAGGATTTAAAGGCTGTAGGATCATCGCAAACACTTTTTATTCCGTCAGCCATCAGCTCAAGGGTTTAGACGGAAGCGTGTCAAAAGCGGCAGGTGGTCAGAGGAGTTATTCTGGTTGGGAAGGCCATTAACCTCATTAAGTTCATCTTTCCCCACCAGAGCTAACCTGCCCAGCAGCTGCAGACCCTTCTCTGGTGGCACACTGCATTCTGGGTAAGTGAGGGAAAAAAACACTATGGTAACCAGCAGCAGTAGAGATTTTGCTGTTGAATGTACTGCACTGCAGCAAACTGCAGCATCACAGGTCACATGACTACATGAGTGGTGATGTAACATTTACATTGATAGTCTAGTGGCATCAGCTTCTACTTTGAGGATATACATATTCATGTGGCGACAGCAAACACAATAGGTGTAGTAAATAATCATCTGATTCTGAGTGAAATGTTACATTAAACAGCAACTATTTTGGTATTTCCTAAGTAAGAGAATAGTAATGTAATGGTCAAACCTGCTTGAGCCATCACATCTCCCTGAGCTGCGGAGTAGAAGATGTAATCGACGGTGATGGCTGTACGAGAGTGACATGTGGTGATCTCAGACTGACCGCTCTCTTTAAGATAGTGGGAGTACGCAGAGGTCAGCTTTAAACCGTGCTCTATGCTGGGCTCAGTGAAACTAGAAAACAGATCACGTGAGAGAAGAACGATTACTGTTAAAAACATTTAGGTTTGTCAGACATCACAGGAGCTTCACATTAAATTTGCTTAACTGTCAAGAAGTCAACAGCTAAGGAGCTACAGAAACTAAGGGCAAGGGTTTATTTGAATGAATCACGAAATGCACTGTACTAGAGAGATATATTGGGATTTATATTTACCCATCCAGTTCTGTTTGCTCCAAATCCTTTGAATCAGAATCTGTGAAAATAATTCAAAGTAAAAGTTAGCAGCTGCATATTTAAAGCTATTCCAGAATGCCAATCTCAATGTGCAAACATACAGTGGCCCCAAAAAGTATTTGGACATTTAAGCCAAATAATGAATGTATACATCTCAAAGTAAGTGGCATTTGCCTAAAATTTAAATGATAAAACAACAGATATATTGGATACATATTTGGATGTATTTGGACACTTGATTAAACCAGATGAAGTAAATTACATAATACATGCATTATAAATCCCTTTTTCAATGACACTAACTAGGTAAAATCCACTTTTAAGAACAGGTCTGGCATTATTTATATTCACATATTTGCACTTTGATCTAATCTTATAAAAATCATACATTTGTATTTATGACATAACTGTTTGGGAGTTACTGTATTTGCTGTAACTGTTAATAACAACAACAAAAAATCCCTATAATGGTTATCATCCACTACCGTTCAAAAGTTTGGGGTCAGGTACGTTTAAACAATATATATATATATATTGTTTAAATTTATTATCCAGCAAGGATGCATTAAACTAAATTGATCAGAAGTGAAATTTAAGCCATTTACATTGTTATAAAATATTTATATTCCAAATAAATGCTGTTTTAATAGAAAACAGCTTTTTAAAATAGTAATAATATTTCAAAATATTACTGTTTTTACAGTGGCTATTAGAAATAACATTTAAAATACAATGTGGAACATAATGTTTGTTATTACAGTTTTCAAACGTTCTTAGAAATGATTATAATGTTTACAATATATGATATGTAACAAGGGCTGAAAGGTGACCTGTTGTTTGGCTTTCGTACTGGCACTGCTGAGAGATGCCCAGAGATTTGGGCCAAATTGGCACAGTTAGAACACGCTGTCCTCTTGGGTTCTCCTCCTGTCCTGACACCTGCAAAATCAAGTCAGGAAATTGAAGAGATGCCAAAACTGTGGCTGCATCCCAAATCACATACTTCCCTACAATATAGTAGCCAAAAAAAAAACAGTATTTGACTAAAGAAATATATCCAAATTCACAGTACTCAAAAGAGTAGACATAAAGTACCTAGGTGACCTACTTCTGGCGAGATTCTGAAGTGCGCATACGATGGACACTTTACTATCCCATGATGCCATGGGAGGGGAATTAAGAATGGAGGTGAAGCGACGTAACTGGCGCTGGTGGGACGCATGATAATGACTGTACTTCCAGATAACATTCATGCTATACACACTCATACTTTTTAGTGGTTGTGAAGTAATTACTTATTCACCTGCTCAAGAGAGTATGCGATTTCGGACTCAGCCCTTATCTGAAAAAATAAAAAGCAAGGAAATGCGCCAAGATTCTCTACCTTCCCAATAGTTATGCCATCATAGTCCAGTCTGCTGTCCCTTATAAAGCGATACAGGGGAGACCAGGGAATGGAGTTAAAATCCCCACAGAGCAGCACAGGACAGACGCTGCTGTCTGCTAACTGGGCCACCCGGGTTATCTCTGCCAGCAGCATAGCCAACTGGGCCAGTTTAATGTCCCCACGCCTAGGGTTGTACAGTAAATGTGTGTTGGCCACACAGACGTTGGTGAGAGAGCTATGAGGGTCAACGGGCCGCAGCAGAACAATCAGGCCCACGTTATCACGGTCCAGGAGAGGGATGCCACGCCGGAAATACTCCACAGGATGACAGGAGACCAAAGAGAAGCGCTCACGTTTGAAGACCACAGCACATCCGTCAGGCTTAAGTCCCGTTCTCCGCTTGTATTCACAATGGTAGCCTGTTTTAAGGGCAGAGAATCGCAGCGTTAAAAAGTAAGTTAAAATTAATTAAGTATAAGTAAATTAAGTTTGTTTTCATTTTTGAAAATCCCTAAAACTTGCCAGGTTTACACAAGATTTGGAATCCTAGATTTCCAAGCCCTCTGCTTATATGCTTTTTGTTACATAAAAAAACTTTCAAATAAATGCTGTTTTTAATCTTCTATTCATGAAAGAATCCTGAAATATATATACAAGCATCACTACCATTTTGTTGATAATGAGAAATGTTTCATGAGCTCCAAATCAGCATAGTAGCCAATGTTAATAATCAGCTCTGCCATCACCAAAAAATACATTTTAAAATAATATTAAAATAGAAAAAATAAACAAACAGTACTAAAGAGAAATAAAAAGTCATCAAGGAAGTAAAGCAACTACCTAAAGATTCTAGCGAGGGTTTGATTTGTTGTTGATAGTGGTCCTCTTGCACCTCCTGCAGGCACATTATCTAGGAAAAAAAGTGTTTGCAGATATTTTAAGAAAATCATCCATTCTTGTCTACTGAATAAAACAACAAAGCATCGTTAGGCATTTAACACTCACTTAATGTTAGTCTTTTCAACTCTGCAAATTGTAATTTTGATTTTGACATGAACATCTTATTTATATTAGCCGTAATTTTAATATCTGTGTATCCGAACCATTACATAAAAATAATATAAAAGACTATATAGTTTAGAATGTATAATGTTTGTACACTTTGAAGTAAGAAAATTGCTGGCAAAGAGTTCAAGCCAGTCAGACAGTTCTGAATGGCATTTTAGCTGTGATGTGTGACTGGTAATAACAATGATCGGTATTAAACTCAAAAGGCCAGAAAATTGAATCCAGCAAATAAGTTTTACGTGGAAATGATAAATAATGAGAATATTCGACAAATGATTATTGCAAGAAAAGCGCATTCACTCACATCAGCACTGTGTTGTTCCAGCTCTTTGATGATGTTTGAAAACCTATGATGCCAGTCCAGAACGGGAGGATTACAATGTCTGTAAAGGTACGTGTTATCACAGAGCAGGTCTTGCGAGAGGATATTGTAGGACATCACAGAAAAATCAAATGGCAATTTTTGTTTCCCTTCTTTCGCAGATGCAGCATTACAAAGTTGAGAAAGATCCTCCCATTGTCTCTTCAACTCTGTGAAGTGAAAAGATTGTGGATTTGGTTTTTTATGCACAACTACAGTACATACCAACATCAATATAAATTAAAAGGAACATCCAAATTATTCACCTGGTCTGGCTGCAGTCCTCTCTGGGCTCGAAGGAAATTTCCCAGGAGGCACTGTACCACCGGTTACACTTTGTAGCCATTCAGGACTTCCCTTTGGACTCCTGCTGCCATTTGGAGGTATACATTCGGGCGAGCGTTGAGATCTTTCCCCTCCCGGCCTCCCATCAGCGCTCTTCCTCCTCTTTGGAGGTGGCTCCCGATCAGAGCGGTCCATCAGAAATGCAGAAAAGTGAACGCCTTGTCTGGGTTGAATGTGTGGCAATACTTCAGATCGTCCCCAGGAACTCCAGTTGTACGGATCCGGAGGTCTCGGGGGCCTGTTGGAGAGGTGTCTTACAGTGCTGAAGGAGGAAGAGGGATGCTGCCAGTGAGGTGGTTGAGTCCACCATAAATGACTAGGCTGATACCAGTGTCTCCAGTGGTTGTAAACAATCTGAGCTGGTGGAAAGCCCACTGTGCTCAGGTAACGGCCAAACATGGGATGACTGCAAGAGGAAAGAAAACCTCATTCATTATATCACAGAGCCAACTTTTAGAAATATTTACCATGGTTTTACTATGAAACAATTACACTAACTGAAGTAACTTTGTCTGAAATATTTTAGAATCATTATAAAGAATTACGTTTTTGTTTTTGTTTTTTTACAATACAGCAATTATGGTTTGCATTGTAAATGCGTTTATGCTGCTTTTTTCTAATAAAGAGATTAAGCATGGAAATCAAGAGTCACTCATGCTTTAATCCATGATTACAATGGTTATATATAAAGAGTTCAGATGCAAAAGCCTCTAAGTGCCATTTGAAATTTTCTTCTAGAATGATCATTTTTATCAAGCTTGTATATTTAAGTTCAGTGATTTCACTTAAATGGCAATGATAATTACCTATTAATTGTTATTTAAGTGAAATTACTGAACTTAAATATACAAGTTTGACAAAAATCATCATTAAAGAAGAAAATTTCAAATGGCATTTAGAGGCTTTTGCATCTGAACTCTTCATATTTAAAAAATCCACAGTTAAACTGCAATTGCAATCAATAAATGAGCAGAATGAACTATGTACAAATGAATTAAAAATGACCTAATTTACGACATGATATACATTTCAATGTATTTATTTATGTATTGAAACATTCGATGATATATGAAATAATTTCATTATTTACTTATTTTTATTTATTCTGTTAAAACCCTGCAAATGTTAAAATAGATAATAGTATCATGTTTTGTTTTGATATTTAGTTATCGGTATAGTCAAAACCCATATGAACTTACTCTGGATATATGCCTGGTCTGACATAATTAGGATGAGTGTGTCGAGGCATGTAACGTCCTCTTATCGTAAAACGACTCTTTTTAGCAACATCTGAACTGAATGAGACTCGAAAACTATGTGAAAAGACGTCTACTGTAGTTACACGCTAACACAACAGACTGACGATGGCGTTTGAATATGACGTCACCAGCCATGTCCGAATCTCGTGAATGAACCATTCTTTTGAGTCGAATCTTTTCTATGAATTACCATCAGCCGAGAACCAGAACCAACCGACGATGGTGCTGCACCGATGATTTGAGTGACGGCGCGAAAAGTAAGTAACTAAAGCAGTTTGTAGAGCCATCTGGATATTATATAGAAATAATAAGAGTGGTACTATTAATTTATATTCACCAATATTCATTTTGTCACATGGAGTTAGACATGCTGCATATTTCTAGCTTTACAATTGACAACAGCTGGCTGATGATGACACCACTTATTAGGAATTGCAATGAATAAAGACCAACAAACAAGGCTAGCTAAACTAAAACGAAAATCCACTTGAAACTCAATTCTTGGCTGAGAGACTTGTCGATAAGACAAATAAATTTACTCTCTTAACATGAAAGATTGTCGAGACTTACATGAAGATCTCTCCTTAGCAGTTCATAAAGGAACTAAAAAAAGGCTTGAAAGCATGTTAAATAACTTTGTTTTGAAAAATACTTAAACAACACTTTAAAATTAATTGACTTAAAAAGTCATTAATAATCCCTCTTCACTTAGGGAACACATTATAATTTCTCTAAAGTTGGTGGCCTGGATTTTCTCCTACTTTAAACTATAATGTTACAAAGATCCATATTAAAACTTTTTTAATTTCCATTAGCAGATGCTTTTGGCCTGGTCCCTAATACACAAACACAACTTTTCCCCACACAGATATTACTTATGGAACCAAGGATCTCTACAAGAATAAATAACCTTTCTTTGACACCTGGTTCAAAAACCTTTTTTTTTTTTTTTTTTTAAGTTGTCAGATTTTATAACTATTCAGATTTTTTACAGAAATATAAAATTCCTATAACTGCTAATGAATTTGTCATTGTTTCCAATGCCATTCCCTAAGGAGTGTCTTTACTCTTGCAAGGGACACTTCCATGGCCACATATAGGCCTACTAAGTCTGACACAATATGCTTTTGTGACAAAAGATTAATGATCAAATAAGAGCTCTCTCTTCCAGAGAGATAATAACATTTCCTTGTGTAGGCTAATACCATATTTGAATAATATTGTAGAGAATTTTTGGAGAAAGTATGGTCTTTGCCTCATTAACAATAAAGTAAAAGAAATATCATTTTAATTAATTCACAAATGTTAGCCGACCAAAGCCTTTCTTAGGAAATGAACACCTCGGACATTGAAGTTAATTGCTGCTTTTGCCACTCTTCTGAGGAAGATGATAATTCTCTTGTTTTGGCAATGCACTCACACAGAGAAATGTTGGTCAGATGTGTTAATGTTTATACAATCTTATTTTGTAAGTGACTTTTCTTTCTGTTTTAAAGAGGTTTTCTTTGGATTGTTTGACTTTTCAAAAAAGAGAATGTATAGAAATATTAGGCTACGTAATTAATTTATTTCCTACTAGCCATATTTTAAATACATAAACAACAACTGACTGGCAAAGATGACCTAGACAAGTAGGCCTATATGGAAACTATTCAAAGCTGTGCTAATCCCAAAAGCAGTGAACTATCTCCATATTCATCCTTTTTGTCCTCTTAATGTGTAAATGTAGCTATTACATTGTTGTTGTTGTTTTGTTGGTTACCCTGGTAACACATCTGTATCTGTGTATCTTTTTATCTTCTTTGTTTTGTTGTTTCCATGTTTATCTGTATTGCCTTAATGTTTTGTTTAACAAACAAAAAAACTGATCGAAAGAATCGATTCGCGGAAAGGATTCAGACTCGAACTAGTCATGACGGAAAGCATTATGTGACAAAATACTAGAACGGTCGGTCCTCCACAGTCCACAAGCAAATTTGTTAGTTATAGTAACGTTATGTAGACATCTGATTGTTTTTGAGCATGCTTATGATAACCATGCCGCTATATAAAGGATTAATCGTTAGAATAGGCCTATTCATTACGATTTGCGTCGCATATATAAGTAAACGCCCACTGTGGTAGTTGAAATAGCGTTTCACTTACCGGGGCATTTTACAAATAAGATTATGCAGCATTGCCGATAAACACACCCGCGGAACTCTCGATCCATCCAGATATTAAATGATTGTTGTCGGTGACCCAGAGGAATGCTCAGCTTGTCGTCTCTTGTCCCCCTTTCAGTCTTCTCTGACCGTATGGTTTCGTGCTGTTGTTACAAAACATTTGTGCGAATTGCTTTTCAGATGCAATGGACCAGTCACATCTCGAACGTTTGACCTTTTCTAAATATTTATTTCTTTATGCTAGTTATTTACGACTCGTATATGTTCAATTATAATATATATGTTATCCTATCAAGTCATAATATTTGTAGACGACCTATTTTAGGGGTACAAAAGAATTCATCTAGGTTCAATAGGTTTATGTATCGTGTGAACTGTTGTAACCACTAGACGTCACTCTTGTATTGTAGATCACGGGTCAAACTCCATTAGCTCTACTAAAAAAGCCTTTTCAGAATTGAAATTTTTAACTTTGGTCATTCTTAAGCCATGGGTTAACAGAATCCTCGGTTGTTTTATATGTCACACTATTCATACATTGGCTGTCAGGAAAACCCTAGGATTATTAGCCAAAGACACGCATCCGGTTTAATAACATAATTATTCATGTGTAAATGTTGCCATGTAGATCTGCTCTAGTGTAAGTTTCCTGAAACATACAGCACAAAATAGTATGTATTTTTTACTCCAACTATAAAAGTCATCATGAAATCAAAATTTGTGGAATATTGAAGTATTTATTATAAGTGATTTATCCGTGCACGTCTTTTATGTTATAGAAATGAATGTGCCCTTGTGATCTTTCATCAAAACCTGCCACTCAACTATCCAAAAATCCAATAAGTTATCGATAGACAAAGTCAAAGACAAAAAGCAGGGTGAATACACATCGTCTTTCCTTGAAAAATAAGCTGTATAAAATAGATCAACTTATTGTGTGGTTTTGAGAAGCATCGCGACGTGGATTCATGAATTATTCTATTACAAGCTGAAAGATAATGATTTGAAATTTTGAGTGACAGACAAGTAGAAGGGTGGGGGCACACTGGGGGGCCAATCAGTTTTCTAGAGGGGCCAGTGCCCCCATGGTTGAACTTCCTCAGCTGGCAAACTGGGCCTGGGCCTTTTTCATTATGAAGTCCCTGTACCACTTCAGTGAGATGGTAGTGCCCAGAAACCTGAATGACCACTGACTCCACAGTGCTGTTCATGATGGTGAGTGGGGGGAGTGCTGGGGTGTTTCTCTTCCTCCTGAAGTCCACTATCATCTCTGCTGTTTTGTGTGTGTTGAGCTCCTGGTTGTTATTATGACTGCCCCAGACAGTCAGTGATTCGACCTCTTGTCTGTATGCAGACTGGATGAGGCAGATGACTGAAAACAGAGCTGGACACAAAGATTAATCAAACTCATTTACCTACAGATTAACTCGTGTTCCATATTTACAAAATTGCTGACTAATGTGAGCATCAGAATTTTCCAAAAACAATGCAGTCACAAATGCAGACCTTTTTTTACATTTAATAAGGCTGTTGATCAACACTCTCCAGCCATCTGCCTGGCTGCATGACCTTACCCATGACACAGTCCATTAGCTCATATTGCTCTGTGCATTTGTTGCATAAAACCAGTTTTATGAGAACATTTCTTTAAACTCGTTATTTGGAGAGGCTGTCAAACCGACAAGTAAATAAACAAATAAGTACACCGAAATGTCTTAATTTACTAAATATAAATTGGTTGGGTGGTTGGTTGGTGTAATTTGGCGTAAAAAATCTTGTTGATCAGGTTGACACAGCAAGGGACGTTAGAAGAGGAGGTGTTGTGCTGTAATTGGAGGTAATACTGGGAGAAAGACTATAATTAGGAGACTGCAACATTTTGTTAAAATGAGCTGATTTTGTTTTGTTGTGATGTCTCCGAAAGGATTCATTATTTGTAGTTCTGCTTTAAAATTTCTATGCAAAACCCCTCCAATTATTATTCTCATGCAAAAACCTAGGGATGAAAAATTAACAGCTTCTTTTATAACGCTCGTCAGCCTCAGCAGTTTTGAGGTTCACCTTGGTCCTTTTGACCACACATGCATCAAATATTAACATCTGCAGATAACCGTGAGGCAGAAGGCTCAAGAAGTTTCACGGTAAATGGGTCAAAGTAGACGGAGATCTTGCATAAATTTAGTCTGATGTGTGAAATGCATTTTCAAGTCTTTCCTTCCCCAAGGATGGTATGAGGAAAAGGTCACGAGACACTATGAAAAGCAATGATTCTCAATAAAGATACACTCTCAGAAAAAAAGGTACAAAAGCTGTCACTGGGGCTGTACCTTTTCAAAAGGTAAACTTTTGTTCATTTTAGGTGCTAATATGTACATTTTAAGTGTTAATATGTACATTTTAGGTGCTAATATGTACATTTTAGGTGCTGATATGTACATTTTAGGTGCTAATATGTCCATTTCAGGAGATAATATGTCCATTTTAGGTCCTAATATGTACATTTTAGGTGCTAATATGTACATTTTAGGTGTCAAGTACATTTTAGGTGATGATTTGTCCATTTCAGGAGCTAATATGTACATTTTAGGTGCTAATATGTACACTTAGGAACCAATATGTACATTTTAGGTACTAATATGTACATTTTAGGTGCTAATATATCCATTCCAGGAGCTAATATGTCCATCTTAGGTGCTAATATGTACATTTTGGGTGCTAATATGTACCACTAAGTACCAATATGCAGCCTTTGGGTACAAAAGTGTACCTTTTGAAAAGGTACAGCCCCAGTGACAGCTTTTGTACCTTTTTTTTCTGAGAGTGATGCTCGTTTTAGAACGTTAAATCTAGTCGGCTAATTTTTCCAGCAATACGCATAAAGACACATGATTAACTACTGTATTTAATAGCAATTACTCATCATTCTCCTCTTCAATGTTCAGTGCTCTCATTACAGTTATGATGAAATTAATTTCAGCCTGTCATGTGTGTAACGTAACAGAACACCGTTTGAACCTGCCTTTCTGTCGTTGTGTGGTTATATGAAGGCCCGGAGGTTTATTACGATTCAGTCTTTACGCGAAACAACAGGTGGCAGGCGTAGATGCAGATTAGTAGTTTAGCGAGCAAAGACCATTGCCATCTCACTCTTTAATAGGATCAAGCTGGAGTGTAAAATGTGACTTGAATTAAAGTATAATTACCTTACAGCAAAGACAAGCCACCAGCGGCTCAGATGTATTGATTTAATAGTAATCGAGTGTGACTCCATGTTCAGCTGGTTGGAAATTGAGGCGCTGTTTAATCTGTTGTTTTATATCGTCTTTCCAAAAGGACCGATCCTCAATCATGTTCGCATTTTCACACATGCAAATAATATTATAGGAATAGAAATTAGATTTTTGGCTCATGTTATGCTATAGGGTTCTATATAAGACATTTGTTTAATAGGGAAGAATAGAATACACATAGTATAAATATACATATACCATTTGAAAGTATGGGGTGAGTATGATTTTCTTTTTTTTTTTTTAAAGAAAACATTAATACTTTCATTCACCCGGGATTCATTAAATTGATCAAAAGTGACCGTAACAACATTTATAATGTTACAAGATATTTCTTTTTCAAATAAATGCTGTTCTTTTGAAGTTTCTATTTATCAAAGAATTCTGAAAAACAATGTATCAGGGTTTTAGCAGATATATTAAGTAGTTTTCAACATTGATTATAATATTAAATTAGAAGCAAATCAGGATATTCGACTAGGAGTAAGGGCCGCTAATTATAAAAATAAGTTATTCTTAAATAGTAAATTATATTTCACAATAATACTGTTTTTTCTGTATTTTTGATCCTTGGTGAGAATGTGATTCTTTGACAGAATTGACAGAAACGTAATACAAACAGTTGATACAGTATGAAACCACTAAATCCAGTAATAATACTAAAAAAAGTATTTAGAGTGTATAATTTTGATGAATCGTTTTGATACATCTTATCATCTTCCATATAGATAGTGTTATCCCAGATGGACAGTTTATGGATAACAAGAAGGCCAGTGAGAAACTCCTGGGATCCATCGACGTTAATCATGACGACTACAAATTTGGAACCACAAAGGTTAATATTCAGCTTTACAACTTTCAAAGATTCAGTGATCATGGTCATTTTGCTTATACAGGTAAATCAATATATTTAAATGTACTGTTTTACATGAATTCAGGTGTTCTTCAAAGAGTGTTCTTTAGGAGATGCATGATGAGAAACTGGCTGCTCTGGTCCATGACTCAGGCTCTCTGCCGTGGTTACCTGATGAGGAGGTGCAAGGAGGTGAGGAATGTTCTCAAACACTCTGTGTTGTGTACATCTCATATAGGTTAGCAGCTGCTCTGGGGATGGTTTTCAGCATCATTACTCCAGTCTTTTGTCACATGATCCTTCAGAAATCATTCTAATATGCTGATTTGGTGCTCAAGAAACATTTATTATTAATATCAATGTTCAAAGTTATACATTTCTTTTTGGTTTCTTTAATTATAAGATTTATAAGGACAGAATTTATATAATATAAATCATTGTAACATTATAAATGTCTTTTTTGTCACTTTTGAAAAATGTATAAATATTAATTCATTTCAAAAAGAAAAAAAATAACCTTACTGACTGACTCCAAACTGTTTAAAGAATAGGTATTTTATGGTTTAAAAATATAAAATATGTCCCAGCTAGGCTCCACCCAGTGAATCTCAGCCACATCAAACGCGTATGCCTTTGTGCTTGTTTCTGTTAAAAGTACGTGTTGTTTCCATAGTTAAAGAAAGCACTAAATCATGTTGATTGACAGCACCAGCAAACTTGGATTCAGACTTCATGTGACCCTGTTCATGTAATCAATCTGTTTTGGTGGCCTTCTGTGGCATATCTTAAGCACAATTCAAAGAGAACTCTAAAAAAAACAGTATATGAGACATTTCAGAATTCATTACTGCTGATTTTTGTTGAGTTACAAGTGCAGTGAAATATATTCCATACAAATGTGTAATATTTAATTTAGAAAATGCTGTGAAACATGAATATAAATGGGACTTAGATGCTTGTGTGAACTAATTCCCAGGCAAGCAGGCCACTTCAATTTGTGATTTTTACCTTCAATTTTACCTCCCTTGATATAAAACTGTCTGAATATTGTGGAATATGATAATGCGAACAGGAATATACCAAAAAAATCACTGGGGACCAGATTACATAGGCTAGTGCAAACACGTGTCAGTAAGTTATGCTGAGGCGCTTCTAATTTAAATGTACGATTTTGTACCGTAACCATCATCTCATTTCAA